CGGGAACTTATCGGCCGGCGACGAGCGATGGGTGAAACATCTGCAAAGCGCTGGTGGGAGAAACAGGGAGTTTTTGTTAAGCGACAACGGCGGGAGCGGTTTTCGACTACGGGGTCAACGGCGTTGATGCCACTAGGTTCCGTGAAATTCGGTCTCGGAAGACCCAGGGCAGTCCCCGGTTCTCGATTGAACCCACATGCTGGGGTCGGGTAAACCGAAGGAAACTGATGGTGACCGGGTGGGGCGACTATAGCACGACCGAAGATTTCGGAGGCGAACTGCACCTGCAACTGCGGATTTTACGGGGATGTTTTCGAACGACATTTTCGGAGTTTTACGTGGGGACTTACAGGTTTACGGCGGGAAGCGCCGACCATTTCGTGGGATTTCTACGGCGTTTGGTTAAACGCGTGCGACAACGACGTGGGGCAACACCGCGGGAACTACACGGATTTTCAAGGGGTACGAAGGACTTACGACGAACTGAAGAAGGCGGCAGCAACAGTGGAAGGGGGGAGAGACAGCTGCAAAATTTTCATCTCTGCCCAGGAGCCCTAGGCGCATTGCGACAACTTTCTCGGCGAGTCTGGACAAACCCGCCGGAGGTGGTGACGTCATCCGACATGGGGGTGCATTCGGCAAAACTCGGCCGGAGTGTTTTCGATAAGGTTACTAAATCAACGACAATCGCCAACTCTCGTATTCGACTTCGCCATCAATCGCCTTCATCGCCGTCATTTTCGTACCAACCCCGATTTCACAGCCAGAGGATTTCGGGATACAACCGTCCCAGCTCTACAACCGACAACCGCCCCAACTCGACCCGCCCACGACGACCAATTTGATTTTGCCTACGTCAGGTGCTGCCAGCTGCAACTGCTGAAGATTTTGCATGGTTCTGGCGTGTGAAGACAAAGAGCTTTAGTTCGAGTACTCAGCAATTTTGGTTTCGGTTTCTGGTCTAATGTCGCTGGTTCGCCCTTGAAGATTTTGGGGCACGACATACCTAGTTTCGTCATCGATTTGCCACACCGACGCAATTTCACCTGGGCTTCTTCGCTCATCATTCGTCTTCTGTCGGATTTAACATCGGGTTTTTGTTGTTTTCACTCGGCGCGGCTGCGACACTTTTCTGTGGTACATTTCTTGGAGGGGGGGAGAAAGTGCGCTGCACTGTTCTTTCCTTGGCGTTTTCTCGGCTTTCTTCTTGACCTTTGTCAGGTCGCGTCAGCACGACGGACGATCGCGATTACACCGACAAGATCAACTGCTCCAGATTGATCGCGATTGAATTCCGCGTCAGTCTGTTCCCTCCAAAATCGCATCCGTTTCGACCGTCAGATCTACACCTGCTCCATCAACGGCCCACATTCCAACTTTCAATTCATTTGGGCCAGTTCATCCTCGACCGTCAGATCGAAACCTGACAGCATCAACGGCCTCAATTCCAACCTCTTTTTCAAATTCATCCAAGGGATTTCAGCCGTCGGATTCAGCTGAAGAGGAGATCTACGAAATCCTCGCTAGTGTGGGGCTTGTTTCGGTACAGGGCTGCCTTATTTGGAAGGTGGGAGAGTGTAAGGAATTACAATTCCTTACTGTACTCGCACTTTAGCGAGTACATCCCGAAGGACACGCGACGAACCTGTTCGGCCTAATTCGTCGCACCGAACCACTCCCGAGTCGGCTCCGCACCAATCGCAACCATCACCGAGCCATCTTCGCCCTACCTCTTCGCCTAGCTAGGATTTCCCCTATTTAGGCCTCGCTACTTCATTGTTTCGTCATTCTGTAATTCTCATTCTCGTTATTCGATATCTGCGCACTCTGACAAGTTCATTCATAACAGATACTATCTTGGTGGATACCCCTTTTGGAAGGTGTTTCAATATGCTGTATTATTTGACATGACAAATTCTGAATGCACTCTCCTATCCGGAAGAGATCACTGGCTCCACCATGGTGAACGGAGCGTAGGTAGTCCCAATCCAACTTTCACCTTCACGCAACTGCATCCAAACCTCCCCGCGTACCGCCGCGAGAAGCTGACGGAGCTTTCTTTCGTAACGAATAGCGATTCCAAACCGAACCAGGGCCGATACAGCCACAGGTTCCCCTCGCGAATCAGGAGCAGAAAACAAATTTCCGTCTACAGTGGTCAGACGCGGAATTCCTTCGCTCTGGCGATGGTAGCGCAGGGAACGCGTGGAACAGGGAACACTAGGGCAGGGCAGGCAGGATGAGGCTCACGCTTCAGGAATCTGGTGGTGGTTTTTTCACGGGCCATTTTCAGGTGCGATCCACACTTGCCGAGAAATCTACTCATGTGCGATCCATGTTATTTTGCAAGTAAAAACACCCGATTCAGTTTTACATCTTGCTGTCTAAAATTTTCTTTAATCCGAGATCCGATTGAAAATTACACAAACAGTCGGATTCAGAAGCGATTTCGAATCACGCCAAGAAAAATTCGAATGGTCACATCATTTTGGCACAATTTCGCCGATTAATTCTGCTTCGCACTAGAATGTCATGAAAGAACAATTATGCCGGATCAGCTGTATTGTTGAGACACACGACGGACGCTGCGCAGGGCAAATCAGCATTCCCTTCATGGGCGTGCACCACGAAACACGAAAAACGTGCCCGGGTAATTTTACAATTTACCCTTGTCGAAATATATACCCCGCTGGTGTTTTCTCGCACTAGACGACGCTACATTAAAAGAAACCATAAAGACCCTGTAAGCATTTTCGGGAAGAATCAACCCTAAAATGCTCTAGGTTTGTTAGGGGTTAAATATATATATATATATTTTTATGGCAGCGTCGTTTGCTGCGAAAAAAAATAAAGCTAGCTATTTTTAAAGTGAGGGTAAACTTAATTATCACCCAGACACTTTCTCGTGTTTTGGGGTGCACGCCCAAGAAGAGAATGCTGAAATGGCCTGCGGAATATCCGTCACCTGTGTCAACAGTACAGTTGATCCGGCATAAAAATCTCTTTACAAAATTTCTTAGTGCGAAGCAGAATTAGTCGTCGAAATTGTGCCAAAATGATGTGACCATTCGAATTTTTTGACGTGATTCGAAATCTCTTCTGATTCCGACTATTTGTGTAATTTTGAATCGGATCTCGGAGAAAATGAGTTTTTAGTAAGCAAAACTTAAAACTGAATCAGGTGTTCGTACTTGCAAAATAACATGGATCGCACATGAGTAGATTTCCTGGCAAGTGTGGATCGCACCTAAAAATGACCCTTTTTTCACGCGCCTGCCAGACTTCGAGTCAAAACACTCACAACACCGACCTTCCTGACATGCGCCAACCCACACCAATTGGAACGTGTTTGCCCATAAAAGCACCAATTTTCCCACCAGTGTTTACCAGTTTCCTACAAGTTACACGAGATGTGAGAGGATTAATCATGAAACAAAGAGGGGAACCCATATCACCAGCCCGTCTTTCACGGGAGAAACTATGAGAAAACAAGGCCTAGTTCACGGTTAGGCATGCAGTATTCGCCGAAGCGGATGAAAAGGTCCGTCTGTGTTCCCCCCCCCCCCCCCCCCCCATCCTGAAGTGGTCGAGTCAAGTAAGATGGGACTTCCGAAGGATGAGGTTGCGAGATCAAACCCCAGTGCCGGCGAGTTCCGCCAGCCTCCCAGAAGGGGGTTTCGCACTGCTCATCTCGGAGTGGATATATCCTTACCTCGATACCCAGCGAGGCGTATGAACAAGTGGGTAGGCGGATTGCGATCGACAGCCGGGGAAACCCAGAGGGGGCTCTCCTCCCTCCTTTACCTTTAACGTCCGTGTCCACCCACCCTAAACCCAGGGAATTTTGATGGGGAGTTCTCCGGATCAACCCCCGTGCCGACGAGTTCTGTCAGCCTCCCAGAAGGGGGTTCGCATGTGCTCATCTTGGGAGTGGATATACCGCAACCTCGTTCACCCAGCGATGAGTGTAAATACAGCCAGGTGTGGGGTTTCCCCCTCTCTACCTTTAGGACGCGTGTCTTTTGGGGCAAGCTTTCCGAGCATGCTGGGAACTCTCGGGATTTTGGTTACTTGCCGAAATTGTCGCGCGAGGAAATCGATGAAAGTGTTTTTCGATTGCGACATTTTCTTGAAGGGATCAACGGCGAGAATTTCTTTTGCGAGAGGGTTGACGTAAGTCAACCGTGTACACATCCTTGGACGATTTTTGCATCTCAGCCTCTTGCCTTCGCCCATTGCTGGGCGAAGGTTCGAACCCAGCACTTGGAAGACCACCTGAAGTTTACCTTGGGCAGGAGGCGTGCCACGGGGCGAGCTGGGGCGCCCCAGCACGCCCCAGGACGCCTCGGTGCACCAGGTCTGGACCCGTTCTGTACCACGTCCTGACGGAATCAACGGGACGGAATTTATTTCTTCCAGGTGGTATTTACCCTGTCCGTGAGACCCGATCCCCTCCGAAAACCACTGAATCTGGCTCGTGCTCCTGTGTTGTCGGAGTAGCGCTAGGGTGCTGCTGGTGCTTGGGTGCACCTTGAGCAGCACTCCGAGGAGCACCCAAGGTGCAACTAGGTCAGTTATTCTAGGTGCTAGCTTCTATTCGAGGTGTAGCTCAGAATTACCTAAGGCTTCTGCTTGTAGAGCCTAGGCCAGGAGGAAAATATTGCCGTTCATCGCGTAATTTTTTTTTTTTTTTTTTTTTGGAGTGGGGGGCGTAGCTGTAAGTAGAAAAACCAGGAGGAGTGAAGGCATTTAAAAGCCAGAGAGTAGATTGTTTTGGCTCGCGAGCCCTCTGGGAACCAAGCGTAGCAGCTTCCGCCGTTGGAGGTGGTCTCGGATCCAACCACCGAGTTCTCCTCTTTAATTTGCTCCTGAAGGGGAAAGAGAAGCACGCGCCGCGACGAGCGCGACGAGCGGCGATGTCGTCCGGAGCCATCGCGACGGACGCATCGGCGAATGGCGCGGCGGCGTCGCCGCCTCCGCAGAGCAACGGTAACACGGCGATGACGTACGCGTCGGTGATCTCGCTGCACCAGCTCAACATCGCCGTGATCGCCGTTCTCGTTCTCCTCGTGCTGCTCGTGCTCGTCCTCTCCATCGCCAAGGCGCGCTCCACGTGGCTCCACCGCCGCGCCGTCTTGCGCCAGCAGGCGGAAAGCGCGCAGAACCTTCGGCCGGTCGGGCAACGCGGTTTGCTGGTAGACGACCGGCCAGGGAACGGTATTCCCGAGGAGCTGATTAAGCTGCTAGGGCAGGTGGTGGCGTTCGAGGCGGCCAAGGTCGGCGGGGAGTGCGAGAGCGAGCGCGAGTGCATCGTGTGCCTGGGGGAGTATAACGAGGGTGACATGGTGCGCGTGCTCGACGCGTGCCACCACATGTTCCACCAGGTGAGACGCGCGTGTCGCCGCGTGTCATTCGGTGAGATGCGTGTGCCTGCATGGATGAAGGCGTAGCGGGGTCATGGATGAAGGCGTAGTAGGACTCCTAGTACGCTCTCACCCATGCGCGGAGCATGGGTGCGGGCGTATCACACCCGAACGGTATGGGCTGGTGATTTCGAGCGACAACCTCGGGCAGCAGCAGCACGGAGCGCAAGGGCGCTGCGTGTGCGCAGTAAGGGACCCTAGGGCGCTGCGTGGGCGCAAAAAGGGACCCAAGGGCGCTGCGTGTGCGCAATAAGGGACCCAAGAGCGCTGCGTGTGCGCAATAAGGGGCTGTAGGGCGCAGGGTGTGGCCAGTACGGGGCGCTTGGCGCAGGGTGTGAGCGGTAAGAGGCTGTAGGGCGTAGGGTGTTGGCGGTAAGGGGCTGTAGGGCTCACAATAACGGCGTTGATAGGACCTGGCGTGTGGCCATCACGGTCTTGCGTGATGTACGGCGCCAGATGCGCCAGTTCTGCTGGAACGCCTGTGGGGCTTACACGTAAGGGTTGAGTGCCTCCGCTGCGCCTCAAATATAACCCTCGTTTTGACCCAGTGGGTAGCGAGGTGTTATATCTGCTGCTACTTCCTATGCACTTCCTTCGATTTGCCCCTCGTCTTCTATATCTCCGCCTCATTCTCCCTTCCCCTCCTTTCCGCCGATTCCCCCCTTCCCCTCCCCTTCTCCCTCCCTCCTCTCCCCTCTTCCCCCCTTCCCTTGTGCCCTGTGACCACCATGTCCCCACTCGCCTCACTGCCCGCGCCTGCTGGTGTGCGCAGGACTGCATAGACGCGTGGCTCAAGGCCCACAACTCATGCCCCATTTGCCGCACCGTGCTGCTCCCCGCGCGCCCTGCTCACACTGCTGCCGGGGCGGACGCCGGGCAGCATTTGCACGGCCACCACCACCACAGCCACCACCACCACATGCACCACCATCACCCCCACCACCCCCACCACCACCACCACCACGACCCCGAAGCTTCTCTTGGTCACGCACACCCATCCCCGGACCAATCACACCCATCTACAGACCATTCTCGTCTATCTTCAGACCAGTCAGGTCCATCTCCTGACGAATTAGGTCTAACCCCAAACGAATCGGGTCTATCATTGGTCCATTTGCATCTGCACACGGACCAATCACGTGCCGCTCATGGCCACGTGCGTGAGCTGCAGGAGCAGAGCGGTTACCATGGCAGCATCACTGCTGCGTCCCCTGCAAGTGCAGGCACAGGGCATGCTGCTCCCTGTCTTGCAGACGTCGACGGAGGAGAGAGTCTCGGAGGTAATGAAAGGGATTCTTTTGTGGCTGTACCCGTTCGCGACGCAGTGACTGGGGCCGAGGTCGCTGCTGCGTCAAAAGACTCGCTGGTGAAAGAGGGGATGGAGTGTAGAGAAGGCGGGCATGTGGGTGTGGAGATAGAGGTGGCAACACAAGGCAGCTGTTGTGCTGCTGGAGGAAATGGGAGCACACGCCATGAAGATGTAGGGGTTCGTGGAGGGAGCCGTGGAGAACCTACGCGTTTGCATGTAGCAATGCAAATTTGAAGGGCGGTTTGCCCTTCTAACCAATCTGTAGGCTTGCTCAATGCTGGCAAATTACGAGTATTAGTGTGTACAGATTTGTTTATATCCCCAAAATGTATCACACTATGAGCCATTTTATATTGCTCTATCCATTCAGACGCGCGAGCATAAAACGAGCCATTCAGGCTGTGATTGTCTGCTGGCGGGGTGGAATTTCCCGCAAGCACTTCTGTTCTGTCCGGTCGAAAGAGCATGTCAGGATGTGTCAGCAACCGATCGCTGATTGGCTGAAGCTTGCTGCACTTCGCCCCTGTCGGAGCCGACATGCGGTCTACTCGAGGTGCAAGCACTGCAGTTATTCGAGCCGCGTGAACACATGCGACTGAAATTCATCAGAAATTCTCACCAGCCCCAGCATTTTTGCTGGTGTTACACCAGTCGACTTTCCCTTGCGGGTCTCACGTTTCACTCGGGAGATTTCATAAATTCCAGCCTATTGGTTCCAGCAGGTGAGTAGAGTCCAGGTCCCACTGCTCCTCCGCTTTCTGCTTCTGATCATTTGAGCAACGCACAGTGACGTTAGAGAAGAGATCAGATGCTGGTATAGGTCCCTGTCACGGTTCTTGTTTCGGGGCTGTCTCAAACCCAGATCCTGGCGAAGGTTCCTCAACAAAGATGAGTCGCTCGTCCATCCCGAGACGCGCCTTTCGGGCCCTCCTAGTCGCACTTCTCGTGTTCTGCCTCTCCCATGCCCCTGCCGCCTTCGCATCTTTGGCGGCCTCGGGATCGCTCTACTCACCGAGCTCACCATCCATGCACACCCATGACAACAACCCGTTCGCTGCGTTCCGAAACTTGTTTTCGGAGAAAACCAGTTTATTTCAATCAAATCACGCGCTTGGCCACCCTGGAGCGGTTATCGGACCTCCGTCTAACGAGTCCGTGAGGCCGTTCAGTCGATCTTTGCAGTCTTCCTCCTCTCTCTCCGATTGCCCCTTCACCACCACCAATCCCCTCCACACCTGTGCCATGGGCTATGCCGCATCTGCCGGCGTGACCGGCGGTCACGGGAAGCCTGCCTACGTGGTGACCAACGCCGACGACTCACTCCCAGTCGGCACCAACGGCTCGCTGCGGTGGGGGTTAACGCGCGCCTATGCCGCTTCGGGAACCAACGGCATCTACATCACGTTCGCAAAGAAAATTGACGTTTTGCTCCTTGGGCCGCTAGCGGTGCCGTCAGGCACGACAATCGACGGGCGGGGAGTTGCCGTCCGGCTGTTCGGGTCGTCCGTCGTGGTTCGGAACGCCCGGAATGTCATTGTGCACAATATCGAAGGTACGACTCGAGCAACAGATAGTTCAGTAGCGCAACACGCTCGGAATGCGCACTTTCTGACATTTCCTTGTGAAGCTTATCTCCTGGGGAACGAACGTAACCCGCCTCGTCGGTCGCACCTAACCCATCCTTCCTTCTACACCGCTTCCACTCCCAATCATGCGATACCCCTCCAATTTTCAGTGCAAAGCGTGCAGTTCCCCAACGTGAATAGCGGCGTGAGCATCATCGACAGCACGGTTGTGTGGCTGGACCACGTGCGAGTGCGCGACGCTGTACCGGGGGCAGTGGAGGTCGTTGGCACCAGCGCGGGCAGCGCCGGCAGTGTGACAATATCGAACTGCCACTTGAGGAACGTGCATCTGCCCGGTGTGATGATAAGGGGGCCTGGAGCGGGATCGTTAGGCAGTATAGTCAGCACCCGCAGCTCTAACAGCAGCGGCGGCAGCGGGGGAGGCGGGAGCGGGGGGAGCGGCGGAAGCGGGGGTAGCGGCAGTGGAGGCGCAGGAAGCAGCAATAGTAGCAGCAGCGGCAGCAGTAAAAGAAGGAAGACGCAGGCAACCAGCGGCAGCAGCAAGAGCAGCGGGAATGGCACCAAGACGACGAGCTCCAAGAGCACCAACAGCAGCACCACGAGTTCAGGCGCCAAGTCTACGAGTCCCCCTAAAAGCCCCACCTCACCTCCTAAAAGCCCCAGCTCCCCGCCGAAAAGCCCCAGCTCCCCGCCCAAAAGCCCCAGCTCCCCGCCCAAAAGCCCCAGCTCCCCGCCGAAAAGCCCCAGCTCCCCGCCCAAAAGCCCCAGCTCCCCGCCCAAAAGCCCCAGCTCCCCGCCGAAAAGCCCAGACTCCTCGAAAGCGCCGAGCGCGCCGAAGGCGGCGAGCCCACCTGGCGGCGCGAGCAGCAGCACCAAGAGCGCCGGCGGCGGCGCCTCTCCTCCGCTGAGCGTGACGCTTTTTCGGAACTGGTTTGACTCGAACGACAACTCCAACCCCCAATGCGCTGCCGCCACGTGTCACCTCGCGAATAACCTGCTGTCGAATTGGCGAACATGGTGCATCCAGGCAAAGCTCACGGCAAACGTCCGGTCAGAAGGAAACATTTTCCTTGCCGCCGGGCAGAAAGACGCGGCGCGATCTGACGGTTCGTCGATGGTGTCACTAGGAGACAGGCTCGGAAACGGCGCGGTGTTTAACTCCCAAGGGACGGGCGTGGTATTCACTCCCCCGTATTCGATCACGCTCGCGGCGCCTGACACGGCGCTAGAGAGCTTCATTCAGCAGTCCGCGGGCCCACGCGTCATGGCGCGCCCGCCCATGCAGCCCTCCGCGCCCCCTGCTTCCCCGCCGCTTTCCCCCAAATCCCCCCCTCCACTGCAATCTCCGCCTCCCCCACCCGCGCCCCTCACTAATATCAACATGAATCCTCCACGTTCCCCGCGCACCCCTCCTCAGTCTCCCCCGACTTCTTCTCCGCCACCACCAACGAACTCTCCCCCAGTTCCCGGCGTTCCCCCGTCCGCGGATCTTCCAGAGGCGCAGTGCGCGTTCAATACGGATTTGCCGCTGCACAATTGCTCTCTAGGGTTTGCGCGGGGTGTGCTGGGGGGATACGGGCGCAGCGAATATGTGGTTACCAACGCCAGTGATAGCATAATCGCGCCTGTGGAGGGTTCGCTAAGATGGGGTTTGCAGCAGTACAGGGACGGAGTGTACATTCGGTTTGATTCGTCTTTGACAATTAATCTCAAAGGAAGACTATTTATATCATCTTACACAACGATTGATGGACGAGGAGGGCAGATTCGGATAATGGGAGACACAATCGTGGTGCAATCGGCGCAGCATGTGATTATACACAACATTGAAGGTAACAAAAAAGTGTGGCATTCCCTTGTTTCACTTTCACACCCCTGCTCTCTCTCTTCTTCCTTGCCCTCGCTCCCTCCTCATCCCCTCTCAACCAACCTCCCTCATTTTCATTTCCCTACACATTTTTGTTGCCAAATCTTGTCTCCCTATGAATGGTATTGCAACAAGTGCCAGCAGCGTGTGAAGTGGGTGGACTACATGCATCCCCCTCCTCTCCTCTCCCCAGTCATCCCCCACCCGGACAGCATTGCCACAACGGCAAGCACCATAATGTGGGTAACCTCTTACATCTTCCCCTCCTCTCCATCCTCCCATCTCCTCTTTCTCTCCCCTCTCCTTTTCCTCCCCACCTCTTCCTCCTCCCCTTTCAGTGGGCGAGGTAGACCAAGCCTCATTCGGCACGCAGGATGGCATAGCGATCAGAGCCAGCAGCACGGTGTGGGTGGACCACTGCCTCGTGCACAACGCCCCCATGGGAACCATTGACCTCCTTGCCTCCTCAGATGCCGTCACCGTCTCATACTGCCACCTCTCCAACTACCTCCTCCTGCTCGCCTCCGCTAATGCCACATCAGCACCGGCCCTTGCTGACCCGACAAGCCCAGGCATGGGCACAGGCACAGGCGTGGGCACGGGTGGGGATGGGGGTACTGGAGAGCCTGATGCGGCTCGGGTTACGTACTTTGGGAATTTCTTTGAGGGGCCGTCCGCGCCGATGCTGCACTGCCAGGCGTCGCTGTGCCACGTGGCAAACAATCTGTTCGCCAACTGGACCGACACGTGTATTGTTGCGCGCGGAGGCGCGTCGGTGCGATCGCTCAATAACGTGTATGCCAGCACGGCTGCGGGGGCGGCGGGGATTGTAACCGCGAACGCGGACGGCGCGAGTTACTTTGTAACGAGCGGGGATCTGCTGCGGAATGGAGTGCGGTTTGTTGCGAGTTTGCCGCCCGGAGTGAGTGGGAGTGCTGACATGCCCCCTCTGCCCTACTCACTGCCAATAAGCAAAGCTGATTCGAGTCTTCCAGGCATGATCAAGGGGAATTCAGGGCCCCAATTCTGAAGTCAAACAAGTCAACCGAGTTCACAAATGGGTCAAGAAGCAAGCTGTTTACCACCATTTGCAGAGCTGCCTGTGTACCATAGCCTAATTTCCACCTGATACCCAATGCAAAATCAGCTGACTGAATGCAGCGAATCCCATTGTAGAAGTGTGAATGGCCCGTTTCAAGGGATTATGTACCGGTAAAAGGCTACCGTTGCTCGATATTTCATAAAAAAGCTGGTCCATGCACTAGTGAAACGATGGCCATTGAACGAGTCAAGCAGGACCCACAGCGAGTCTGCGCGGGCCCAGGTCCTGGCGCGGGCGCTGGGGACATGCATGCATGCACAGGGGAGGGAGCAAGGGGGAGGGGGGAGGGGGTGAGACATGGGGTGATGCAAGGTGTCGGGGGGAGAGGAGGTGTGTGTTGACAGGTGTGGCGTGGGAGTGTGGGGAGGCGCGAGGATAGGCAGCAGGTGCACGTGGCACAAGCTATTTCTTTGTTCAGAGTCGACATGCCATCCAGGGCAGCAGGGCAGCATGGTAAGTGTGCGTCTTGCACGGAGGGGAGCATGTGAAGTGACTCACAGAGTTGAAGGCGAGGGTGCGTCGGTCGCCCACGAAGCTCAGGAACTCCAACACCTGGCTGTCTGGTACCTTGAGAGGGGTAGCTGTGAGGGGAGGGGGGAGAGGGGCGAGGAGGAAGAGGAAAGAAGAGGGGATGGAGTTAGAGGATGCAGCGTAAGCAGCGCTGTTGCCCACGTAGCCGAGGAACTCCAACACTTGGCTGTCCGGTACCTTGAGAGGGGTGGCTGTAAGGGGAGGAGGGGAGAGGAGGAAAGGAGGAAGACGGGAGGAGGATGAGGTAAGCGGGTGCCTCAACGGTCGCCCCCGTAGCTGAGGAGCTCCAACACCTGGTTGTCCGATACCTTGCGGACTGGGTGGGAGAGAGGAGGGAAGTGGAGAGGAGGGGGGAGGAGGAGTGTGAGGTAAGAAGGGACAGTGAAATCAGGTCATGCTCTCGTTGAGCCAATTGGTGTGTGTCAGCTGAGCCACCCGATGGTTGGTGTGTGTCAGCTGAGCCACCCGATGGTTGGTGTGTGTCAGCTGAGCCACCCGATGGTTGGTGTGTGTCAGCTGAGCCACCCGATGGTTGGTGTGTGTCAGCTGAGCCACCCGATGGTTGGTGTGTGTCAGCTGAGCCACCCGATGGTTGGTGTGTGTCAGCTGAGCCACCCGATGGTTGGTGTGTGTCAGCTGAGCCACCCGATGGTTGGTGTGTGTCAGCTGAGCCACCCGATGGTTGGTGTGTGTCAGCTGAGCCACCCGATGGTTGGTGTGTGTCAGCTGAGCCACCCGATGGTTGGTGTGTGTCAGCTGAGCCACCCGATGGTTGGTGTGTGTCAGCTGAGCCACCCGATGGTTGGTGTGTGTCAGCTGAGCCACCCGATGGTTGGTGTGTGTCAGCTGAGCCACCCGATGGTTGGTGTGTGTCAGCTGAGCCACCCGATGGTTGGTGTGTGTCAGCTGAGCCACCCGATGGTTGGTGTGTGTCAGCTGAGCCACCCGATGGTTGGTGTGTGTCAGCTGAGCCACCCGATGGTTGGTGTGTGTCAGCTGAGCCACCCGATGGTTGGTGTGTGTCAGCTGAGCCACCCGATGGTTGGTGTGTGTCAGCTGAGCCACCCGATGGTTGGTGTGTGTCAGCTGAGCCACCCGATGGTTGGTGTGTGTCAGCTGAGCCACCCGATGGTTGGTGTGTGTCAGCTGAGCCACCCGATGGTTGGTGTGTGTCAGCTGAGCCACCCGATGGTTGGTGTGTGTCAGCTGAGCCACCCGATGGTTGGTGTGTGTCAGCTGAGCCACCCGATGGTTGGTGTGTGTCAGCTGAGCCACCCGATGGTTGGTGTGTGTCAGCTGAGCCACCCGATGGTTGGTGTGTGTCAGCTGAGCCACCCGATGGTTGGTGTGTGTCAGCTGAGCCACCCGATGGTTGGTGTGTGTCAGCTGAGCCACCCGATGGTTGGTGTGTGTCAGCTGAGCCACCCGATGGTTGGTGTGTGTCAGCTGAGCCACCCGATGGTTCACTTGCGCAGCACGTGGGTTGCACCCTCCTCAGCCTCTCATTTCCCCCATCCACTCACTTCCGCCATCCACACACCCCCCTCACCACTCACCAAGCACAAACCAGTCGACCACGTGAGAGCAGGCAGGGTCCGTGAGGATGCCAATCCACTCCCCTCTGCCAGCCCGCCCCCATTTGTCCCTCACCCGCCCCCCTCCCTTTCCGCCACTTACCACTCCTTCCTGGCACTCACCGAGCACGAACCAGTCGACCACGTCAGAGCAAGCAGGGTCGGCCAGGGAGCCCTGGTAGTGGATGTATGCCTGTGAGGCGTCCTGAGAGGTGTAGAAGAGAGGGGTTTAGGGGCAGAGGAGAATGGTGGAGAGTGGTGGCAAAGGGTGAAGAGATGATATAACAGAGTACAGTCTCGGTGCCTGTGAGACAATTATATTTGTATGTGTGCACCTATGTACATGCATGTGCACATACGTACATGCATGTGCACTTACGTACATGCATGTGCACATACGTACATGCATGTGCACATATGTACATGGATTGGCAGGCATACCACATTGAACATGAAGAGGGGAAGCAAGGGGGGGAGGTGGTGTGGTGGTGCTTACGGGCCTGTCGGTGGGCGGCAGCAGCGGCTGCGGGCTGGTCTGCACGCGCAGGCACTGCTGCAGGGCGGAGCGCGCACCCCCCTGCCCACCACCGGCACCTCCAGACACTCCTGAGGGGCCGCACTGGGGAAGGGGGAAAGAGGTTGCATAGAAAGGGGAATGCGAGGGGAAAGTGAGTGAGGGAAATGTGGGGTTGTGGGGGAGAGAGCAGGAAAGACCTTCTCGTGCCCTCCACCTGCACCTCCAAACACTCCTGGGCGGGCGCACTTGAGCGGAGGGAAGAGGGAGTGGGGAGGGAGCAGTGACAGAGGGAAATAAGGGGTTGTGCAAGAGAGAGCAGCAGGGACCTGCCCCTGCCCACCACCGCCACCTCCAGACACTTCTGAGGGTGGGCAGGGGAAGAGGGGGAAGGGGAGGAGATGGCCTGCCTGGGAGACGCATGGTCCCGACAGAGGTTGAGGGGAACGGGCACTGTGCGTACCACCATGCCCGTACTGCTGCTTGCGCCTGTCACTCACCCCTGCCCCACTCCCACCACTCCCACCACGCCTGCCTCTGCTTGTTGTTCTCGCTCGGCGCGGGTTGCGGGTGGTGGAGGAGGGGCACTGTGCATGGCCGCATTGCTGCTCTCCTCTGTCACTCATCCCCGTCCCACTCCCGCCACTCCTACCACTCCCACCGCGCCAGCCACTCACAACTGCTTCTTTCTTCTCGCTCGGTGCGAACGCCAGAGCCGCCTCGAGGCACAGGTTGCGCTCGTTGCTCCTGCTGTGCTGCTGCTGTGCTTGCCTCTCTCTCCCTCTCTCCCCTGGCCGCATCACAGTTCTCCCATCACGCCTGCAGCTCACCCATTCCACCCCGGTCACGCACATCTGCTTCTTCTTCTCCCCTGGGGCGAACGCCGGAGCCGCCTCCAGGCACATGTTGCGCTCGTTGCTCTGCTGCACCTGCCCCTCTCTCCCTCCCTCTCCTTGCCTCACAATGCTCGAGACTCTTTAGTCTCCTTCCCCCCCACCATCCCACTCACATCTGCTTCTTCTTCTCGCTCGGCGCAAATGCCAGAGCCGCCTCCAGGCACAGGTTGCGCGGGGCCCGTGGGTCCGCCTCTATCATCACACTGGCGCGGGGGAAAAGGGGCGCGGGGAGTTGTTGGGGCATTTGTGGGGGGGTTGGCAGAGAATTTGGGAGGGGAGAGGGATTGGAGGACGGGGGAGGGGATAAGCATGCAGCGGAGAGGAGGGCGGGAACGGGGGAAGCCGTGAGATTGAAGCGGGTGTAGCATCACGAACTAGTGCTGAGCCATGTGATTAAAACGAGCGGCAGCAATACCAGCACGCGATGGCGACTCACCCAATGACTGCCAGCTTGCCGTCAGCATCGCCTGCACAGGAACGAGGTGGGGAGAAGGAAAGGGAAAGAAAGCCGTGAGAAGGGAGGGGGGAAAGGAGAGGCCCACATTGCCCATGAGCATTAGGGGACACTGCCCTGTAAGAGGCAATCAACCACCACTCCCTCACCCCTCTCCCAATCACCCGCGATCCATGATGGCCATCGAAACGCGTCGCCTGTTGCAATGCAATGCCACAGTACAACTCGATACAGTCCCCTCGCTACAGCGACGCATGGTGCACAAGGTGTGTGCCTCCATGGGGCAGCACACGCCGTTGAAGGAATAAAGAAGGTGTCACCCGCTACAGTCGCTAGCTACATCCCCTCGCTACAGTCCGCCCCCCTACAGTCACTCGCTACACGCACGGTGCACGAGGTGCGCCTCCATGGGGCAGCGCACGCCGTTGAACGAGTGCTCGCTAGGCGCGTGGAAGTGATACTGTAGCAGCTGCAGCTGCCGCCCGCCCACCGCGCACGTGTTGCTGCCGCTTGGGAAGTTCACCTGCGGGCGGCAGAAGCGGACAAGAGAGATGAGAGAGCGGTAAAAGGGGTGAAGATGGGTGAGAGCGTGGGAGAGATGGTAGAGTGGGTTGAGAGGAAGAGATAAGCCAGGGGTGAGAAGAATAGAGAGCCATGAACAAGGAGAACGGTCGCACTGAACGACTCGCCTGCATTGTGCCGTGCCCCGTGTTCAGAAACGACGCGTCGGCGTTCTTATACGCGAATGTGATATTGCCGAGGCTGTTGTCCCTCGTCAGCTTTGACACCGCGTTCAGCTGACCGCCGGTTGCGGACTGCGCCGCGTCGGCCGCCGAGCACAGCTCGCCCCACTCCATCGGCCCGGAATCGTCGGCCTTGCTCGAATCAGCGGCCAATGCGGCCCCAATAGAGGATACCCCGTTAGAGTCACAAATGGGGCAACCCACGACCGCCGCCATTCCCGCCGCCAGTCCGCCGAGGATCAGCCGTCGATTGACGACGCGCGGCCCTGTGTGGCCGTGAGAGGAGCTTTCGGGCTCTGCGGCGGCCGCCTTTCCGTCTTTGGCGGCGCAGCGGACGGCAATGGCGGTGCTGTTATTGGCGGATGGGAGGGGAGCTGCGCAGGCGGCGAGGCTGACGGGTCGGCCGAGCATCTCGCATTTCTCGATCGAAGATTGGGCGCAAGCGGCCAGCGGAGCACGAAGCGACGAGGAGGTGGCAAGGGCAGCCATTGAGGAACCAAACTCCACGGAGAAGAGCTAATCGTGTAAATGTTAGCTGTCCTCTCTGCTTTCCAACACCCCTGAGTGCTTCTTATCATGGGAGGTGGGAAGTCGTGGTTGAGAGAGTTCCTCAGAGTGGCTTGAGCTGATACACGAAGGTAGGAGCTTGAAGGGCAGTGTAAATTTTCAAAAGCACCCTCCGTGTCTGGTTTTTAGAACCGCGTTCACAAGGTGGAACAGAGGGGGAAATATTTAAATAAAATGTTGGTTCTTTCTTTCAGCACCGCTGAAAATGACTCTGGGCGTTGATAAAAGAAAAATAGTTCTTGTGCCCGCCATCTCAAGAACTTGATCCTCGCGAAATCTACGGTTCTCAGTTTGCTTCCAGCCAGTCGATCAATATCCGACATCCATTTACGAATCGCGCATTCGATGTGTAAGCCATGTCATCAGGAACACGTGGTTTGATCTCCACGTGGTATGTCTTACTTACTGCAAGGCTTCGTTACTACTGTTAATTTGACGCGGGAAAGGATTTGCTCATGTTTGCATATACCATCAGAATACCATTCACGGAAGCATTCAGACTTCGACCAGCATAAACTTGATTTTGTTTCCCACATCCCGTGATTGACCTGTCTGTGCTGGCAACACCTCGCTTGAATCACCAGTACCTCCTCCACGCAGTGGTGGAGAATCCGCGGCACGCGGGACTGTGGGAACGTTCGCAAGCCATTTCGTGTGTCGAATGAAGGTGATCCACGTGTTCAGTCTTGAGTTGTGCAAAGTCGCGCCAAAGCAGATTCAACCAGGCCCCTTAGAGTTGTCGTCGCTCGTGTAACCTGGGGTGTGGGTGGCTCTTGTTCAAGCAGTGCTCCTCCCTAATTCATTGGGATTGAAGCAAAACTACGTGCGAGAAATCAGAGGAAACTAGCTCCATCTGCAGGGAGGGCATGATTGACTTGATCTGGTTGAACTACGCCCCTTCTGTTAGGCCACGCCCAGTGGTGAACTGTCGGCTCAGCCATGGCGTCTAGCGCTTTTGAAACGTACTGGAAGGTAGGATCTTGATAACCTGGGGAGCAGGCGCGTTTTTTTCGGCTTGGTATCTGACGTGAGCGGCACCCTCTGCAGGTTCTGACCGACAACTTCACAGACTTCCAGCTGGCGACCATCGGAAGCTTCCTGATTCACGAGTGCGTCTTTTTCATGTCCGGGCTTCCTTATCTGATCCTCGAGAATCTAAATGTTCGAAAATACAAACTCCAGGTGCGTCGACATTCCGTTGGTATCGTGGTACGGCTCCATTAGCAACTTAGGTTGGGATCTGAGCGTGGTTCGTGTCATTGCAGAAAAGGTCGAATCCGGCATCATCACAGATCAAGTGTGTGTTGAAGCTGCTGATGTACCACTGCCTGGTCAACCTACCGCTGATCATGGCGTCTTACCCAGTCTTTAAGTACATGGGCTTCAGAAGCACGCTTCCCCTCCCGCACTGGTAACGCTTCCACTCGCTTTGCAGTTTGCATAGGTAGATCGCCTCGTCTAGTGTAGTAAGCGTTCTCACCTTTCACGACGACGCTTGCAGGAGTACCATCGTCACCCAGATCGTGAGCTATTTCTTTATCGAGGATTTCGTGTTTTACTGGGGGCACCGTGCGCTGCACTCGAAATGGCTGTACCAGAACGTCCACTGCGTCCACCATGAGTGAGTGCCGCTGCCAGTCGCTCCCCGTTACTCTCCTTCCGCCTCCCGCCTGCTAAGTCTCCTTTTCCTCTCCCTTTTTGAGCCTTCAGATACGCGACGCCGTTCGGGTTGACATCGGAGTACGCGCATCCCGCGGAAATCCTCTTCCTAGGGTTCGCCACCATTCTCGGCCCCGCCCTCACTGGCCCACATCTGCTCACCCTCTGGCTCTGGATGAGCCTTCGAGTCCTCGAAACCGTTGAAGCACACAGTGGATTCGAATTCCCCTGGAGTCCGTCCCGCTTCATTCCCCTCTACGGCGGGTGAGTTCATTTCACACCAATTTATACAATTATACCTTCGCTTTACGAAGTCCTCTGAGCGTAGGATGCAATGCAACTCGTTATGGCTGCAGGGCGGAGTACCATGATTATCATCACCGCTGCGTGTACACAGACTCAGGCAACTATTCGTCCACGTTCATCTACATGGACTGGTATGTGGGTTTGGATTGCTCGCTCGCACATGCGGTAGATGTGGTATGATGCCCGCTGATCGTGAGCTATGTGTTGTGCAGGATCTTTGGGACCGACAAGAATTACAGGAGAATGAAGGCTTTGAAGGCAGGCACTGCCAAGGACGAGGCTCCTACTACCAATGGTACGAAGAAGGACTCTTAGGCTAGAAAAGGTTGGTCCTTGGGACTGCAACTTTGTGTTGCAAGCTCTTATATCCACGCCCTCACTGTGGACGTGTTAGGTGCTTGTTCATGCATTTTCAGATAGTTTTCAGTCAATCACGTCACATTTTTTCCATGCATACCAGTCAAAGCACAATGGTGGGGCAATTAGTCCCTAGATCCGACCCAGTCTGCTGCTCTCTCCCTAATCCCACTCATTGTTCATAAGATCCCAACCCAATGTCTGTAATGCAAAGATGGGACGGGAGCTGGATGATGGAATGGAATGGTATGTCAAGTCAGCCCATGAGGGGGCCAAGTTGTACCATGGAGTGGGTAGAGCTGTACCAGCAGTCGTGGTGTGTCATCATACCGTCCGACCCCACCATGCTTGTGGAAAAGGAGAGTGAGGAGAATTAGAGGCTGAGTTTACCATAAGAGCGTGTTCTTACACCTCGTATCAGACACACCTCGTATCAGCTTCGCGTGAAGTACGCTGGAGGTGGGCGAGTGCTTACGCTGGAAATCGTTTGTACGAATACCGTAGGTTGGGAAAATAGAACTGCAGGGAAAGATGGGTATGGGCAGATCTGAAAGCGGAGGATCTTCTCTCCTTAATGATGTATTGAAAGCACTAAGTGTGGTAAACTCCAAAGCTTAAGCTTGATACTAAATGCCATCGATTGTATGCAACCCACTAACATGCTATGTAAATTGAGATAGTTGTGTTAAAAAAATGTACCATTTCGCACTGACGGGGCAATGTTCACACTTCAGCGGATCCCACCACATCCACCTCATCGCCTCCGTCATTCCGATTCCTCGCATCCTGCCACCATTCGCGCTCGACCTTTCACTGATCCTGATTTGCCTCATCCCACGATCATCTGAGTTCCTGATCAGATCATCCTAGCATTTTTGCAGCGCGCGTTTGTTTCCGCGCTCATTGCCGCGCTGCCGAGCAGCATCAACCTACTAATTCAGCAGCAACGGCTCTCGGGACAGAAAATAACGTTTGAAGCTCAAACGGGTCCTGCGACGGTCAAGTTTAGGGTTACAGACACTCGATGTCGGGAAGAGATTTGGTACTTGTGAAATAGGCGAGCTGGCTAAGGTTAGGTAAAAGGCCGTCGCTCTTCAGGCCAGCTGGCGGCTCGCCGGCTGATGCGGCGATGACTGGGCCGCTGCCGTCGCCAGCCAATCGCACGCGCTTCAAGACGCCGGAAGGGCGATACTTGCTGTCGCACGAGAAGGTTCACCCTGCCGGCCTTATCCAGTACACCCATCAGCGCAATCCCACCAAGGTATTACGCGCGCCACGTGTACCTTCCAGATCCCTCCATGTCAACGGCCAGGGATCACAATAATCTCTCACGTGCCGCGATTATAGAAGACAATGGCATTCCGGTTCCTCCCCCCGTTACAGTCGCGAAACTTCATGGGGCGTGTCTCACTCACGCGGCTCTCGCAGCGAGTCCTCGGAATCTTGTTCTGCGATCGGCATATGGCATTCCGTCCCCCCCCTCGCATTCCCTTTCCTCGCCATTTCCCCATACCCAATCTAACCGTTCCCGTGTTCCCCCCCTTTCCTTCTCCCCCTTCCCCATCCTTCCCCTCTTCCTCCATCAACCCCCCGCCCCGCCTCCTGCCCCGCTCCCACGCGCAGATCACATTAGCGCATCTAGAAGACCGCCCTCCGCCCCTCCCCCCTCCGTCCCCGTCACCGGTTGCCACGTCAGCTGGTTCCAGATTCGCCAAAAACTTCTTAGGAGCAGGAAGCGGCACGCGCGGACTGCCCTTCGGCGGCGGAAATGGCCGTCAATCAGGTGAGTGTAGCCGTCAGTGAGGTGGGAGTGACCGTCAGTGTGGTGGGAGTGGCCGTCAGTGAGGTGGGAGTGGCCGTCAGCGAGGTGGGAGTGGCCGTCAGTGTGGTGGTAGTGGCCGTCAGTCAGATAGTTCACTTGCCCACCCCCCTCGTGAAGCATCCCTCACTTCCTTCCCCTTCCCTCACTACCTGCCTCCGCGCGTCCTGCATTCCCAACTCATTTTCCCCTTCCACCTTCCCCCCCACCCCCACCCCTTTTCCCCCCTCCCGCCCCACACCTCTCCGCCTTCCCATTATTCTCCCCCAATTCCCCCGCAGCAGCGGCGCCAGCAGCCAGTGGCGCGTCCGCGGGCACGGGGACTGCAGGGGGGAGCAATGGGGCGGTGGGGGGAGCAGGCGGAGCGGGAGGGGCGGGGGAGAAGGAGAAGGCAGGGGGCGAGGGCGAGGGGTCGTACGTGATCTTTAACGTTGGCGAATCACTCTTTGTCGCGGACGCCAACAGTACAGACAAGGTGGGAAAAGAAGAAGGGTGAGAGGCGCAACATGGGGCTGGGGCGCAAAAGGCGGGGGGGTGGGGCGCAAAAGGTGGGGGGGTGGGGCGCAAAAGGTGGGGGCGGGGGGCTCAAAAGGTGGGGGTGGGGCGCAAAAGGTGGGGGTGGGGCGCAAAAGGTGGGGGTGGGGAAGAGCAAAGTGGGGGTGGTGGGAGCAAAAAGGCGGTGAGTGAAAAGAGCTAGGTGGGAGTGGACGAGGTGGGAAGAAATGTTTTCCTCCTCGTCCACTCCTCCTCTCGCTCTCCCCTCAAATCTTCGTATTCCCCTGTCTCCATTCTTTTGAGGCGCCTCAAAAGTCGTTTTCCCCTGTCTCCATTCTTCTTCCGCTCTCTCCCTTCACCCCCTCTCCCCCCTCTTCCCTCCTGCCAGGAGCCACTGAAGGCGCTGCAGTTCATGGGGGCGAGCGGGCTGTGCCACGCGTTTGACGGTGCTGTGGCAAGCAGGGACGCACAGGGCACGGCGGGCAGGGACACTCATGACCTGTTGATTGCCACCACTGCAGGCGACAGTGAGTGCTATCCCCCCACCCTCTTGCTCGGGGGACAGGGAAGCACAATGCACGGTGGGCAGGGATGCACAATGCACGGCGGGCTGAGATGCACACGACCTGCTCATTGCCACCACTGCAGGCAACAGTGAGTTCAGCCTTCTCCTCCCCCCTCCTCCTCCTCCCCCTCTCCTCCTCCCCCTCTCCTCCTCCCCCTCTCCTCCTCCCCCTCTCCTCCTCTCACTCTCTTCCCACTTTCCTCCTCCCACTCTCCTCCTTCCACTCTGCTCCTCCCGCTCTCCTCCTCTCCATGCGCGCACTCAAGCCACCAAGCCTGTGCTGCACACCCCACCACCCCAGCTGCTTACCTCGTGCCTGCACTCAAGCCCAGCTGCTTACCGTGTACCCACCTGCTCTGGCCCTCCCTTCCTCTTCTCTGCCCTCTCTCTCCGCTCCTCCCTCTCCCCCCAGTCTACACAGCATCACTGCGAGCACAGCTAGCAGACGGCAGCAAGAAGCTGGTCGGTGCAGCACACTACAGCCCCAGGGACAGCACCGGCAGCAGTGGCGGCAGTGGGGGGAGCAGCAGCGGGGGGGGCAAGGAGGGCAGCAGCGGCAGCAGCAGTCGGTGCATGGCAGTGGCGTGGGTGCCGGGCGGGGATGGGCTGTTTGTGACGGCACATGCGGATGGGAACGTTTATGTCTTTGACAAGGTGAGACGCGCCCTCTCTCTGTGTGTAGTCACCCATGGCATGGCATGGCATGGAATGGCATGGCATAGCATGTGGCATGGGTGCCAGGCCGAGATGGGCTGTTTGTGACAGCGCATGCGGATTGGAACGTGTATGTCTTTGACAAGGTGGGACTCGCCTGCTCTCTCTGTGTAGTGACCCGTGACCCGTGTTATGGCAAGAAGCGAGGCATACGGATTCAATGCTATACGCACTGTAACCAACGTCCCTCCTTCCCCTCTCATCCCTTCCTTACTCCCCCGCCCTGCGTCCTCCCATCCGCTTTCCCAATGCCGAAACTCTCTGACCCCTCAACCGCACCCCATCCCTCCCTGCCCCACAGCACCGGGACGGCACCACGGAGCCAGGCTTCCCCCCCATCAAGGACGCGCATGCGTTCTCCACCGCTCATGCGCGCTCCAACAAGGTGCGACACCCAATGCCCACTGCCACCTGTTCGCTTGTTTTGAATAGACTCAAGTCAGCTGTCCCACCTCCACCATCGTCGCCATTGCATTGAGAGCAATAACTCATTCCCCCTCCCCCCTGTAAGCACTCCCTAGAGCAATTCAAATGCCCACAACTGTATGTCCCATCCCATGGGCACCATCACCACCCACCGCCCATTGGTTCCCGCCCTCCCCCAATGCTCCTCACCTGCAGAGCAACCCGCTAGCGCGGTGGCACATATCGCCATCAGCCATCACCATCACCCATGCCATGCCACCTCCCCCATCCACCCCTCCCCCCTTCAATGCCCATCTCTGACAGAGCAACCCGCTAGCGCGGTGGCACATATCGCCCTCAGCCATCACCATCACCCATGCCATGCCACCTCCCCCATCCACCCCTCCCCCCTTCAATGCCCATCTCTGACAGAGCAACCCGCTAGCGCGGTGGCACATATCGCCCTCAGCCATCAACGCCCTCGCCTTCTCCCCTTCAGGCTCGCACATGGCCACCGTCTCCCGCGATGGTCAGTTCTAGGGGGGTGGGTGTGAAAGGGGGAGTGAGGGGTGGGGTGGGGGGATTGACCTGGGGCGCCACACGCGTGTGTCAACGCCCGCCTTCCACTCCTCGGGCTCCCACATCGCCACTCTCTCCCGCGACGGTCCGTGCTGCCGGAGGGAGGGGGGGGGGGGGGGAGGAAGTAGAGGGGAGGGGGTTGTGCTTGGCCATCTTTTGCATGCTTGCTGCTGCGTGCTTGCTGCAGGTTATGTGTGTGTGGTGGACCAAGTTTGTCTTTTAAGACGCCTCACAGCAATCTCTGGTTGGTGCGTGCTGCTTGCTGCGTGCATGCGTCCCTCTTTCCATGCAACTTCCATGCAACTTCCCTGCATGCAGGCTACCTACGAGTGTTTGACTGGGAGCGGGAGGCCCTAGAGGGAGGGTGCAAGAGCTACTATGGCGCGTTCCTGTGCTGCGCCTTCAGCAGTGACGGACGGCTGGTGGCGGCAGGCGGGGAGGACGATTTGGTGGCCCTGTGGGACCGCCACTCGCACGCCGTGCTCGCCTGGTGCGAGGGGCACTGCTCCTGGGTGAGTGGGTCTTGTTCTTTGGACGCCTTAACTTTCTATCTATGCGATGCAAGTTGGCGCTTGACACATGGCTTTGCTGCTGGCCCTGTGGGACCGCCACTCCCATGCCGTGCTGGCGTGGTGCGAGGGGCGTGTGTGTTTCTCAAAAGGAGTGTGTTCTTAGACTGCTCAGTGGTTGAGTAATGCTGTGCAATCGGATGAAGATGCGGTGAGGATGGGTGAGATGCATTGATAATCCATTGCTCTGTCCCACCTCTCATCACCTCTCATCACCTCTCATCACCTCTCTCCCCTCTCTCTCCCTCTCCCTCGTCCCTCTCACTCTTTCCACGGCAGGTGACAGCAGTGGCATTCGACCCCTTCCTCTCCATCACGCCTCCCCCACCCTCCACCATCGCCTCTCCACCCTCCACCACCGCGGCTACTTCCTCCGCCACTCCCTCTTCTGCCTCCCCCATCCCCACCAGCAGCGCCACCACAGGCAGTGGTGCGGGTGTGGGGGCGGCAGTGGCCTCGGGTGGTGCGGAGGGCAGCTACCGGCTGGGGTCCGTGGGGCAGGTGAGGGGAAGGGGGAGGGGGGGGGGGGGGGGGGGGGAGAGTGAAAGGGGAGTGCGGGCAGAGGGAGGAGCAGGTACCGCCGTGCATGGCACATGGCGCTGATGGCAGCACCATGCATTCGTTGTCTTTGCTCTCATGCGTGTTAGTTGCCACACCCATACCGCTGTTGTGAAGCACTTGCTCACCCACCCCCTTGTACCCCCCCCAGACAAGCAACTAGATGATTACCGCAACTGTGTGGTGCTCCCCTTGCGCATGCCGCTGCGCCACTGTCATTACTGCCTTCTCTTCGCACTCACTCACCCGCCTATTTGTGCTCCCCCACCCACTCCCCTCCCCTCCCCGGCCGTTGTCCAACCCTACCAGGGCACACAACTGCTGCAGTGGGATGTGGCCCTTGAAGACGCAGTGCCTCGCCTCCCTCACCACGGCCTTCTCACTCCCTCACCCCTCCTCTTGCACTCATCCACCCCCTCCCCCTATCAGGACACGCAGCTGCTGCTGTGGGACATAGCTCTAGACGACGTGGTGCTCCCCTTGCGCCTCCATCCGCACCACCAATCAGCTGCTGCCACGTCAGCATCTCACCCTCATGACGTGGCATCGACCAGCACCCCGCCACCCACCCACCCGCACTCCCGCTCGCACTTCTCTCACTTCCACTCTCACGCCCCCGGCCATGCCTCTCCCAACCGAACACATGGTGCCACGTCAGCATCACCATCCACGTCAGCAGCAGGAGCTGCCACGTCAGCGTCATCATTAGGTCTGGGCAGGTCCAGCGCTGCCCGGAGCTCCAGTGGGGCAGGGAGTGGGGCCGGTGGGGGCAGCAGCAGCAGCAGTGCGGGCAGGGCGGGCAGCAGTGGCAGCAGCAGCGGGGCTTTAAGAGACGCATCGGGGTCACATGCATCGCATGGAGCAGGAGGAGCAGCAGCGGTGCTGGTGCCGCCTCCTTCCCGCAAAGACGTGCCAAGAATATCGCCAGTGATGGCTCACAAGGTGTGCACTCTGCCAGTGATGCCATTTGCCTTTCAGAGCAGATTAGAGGGATCGCATCTCTTCATACGTCCATCCCTTCTCACTCACATGTGTCCCCCCCAATCATCCCTCTCTCGCCCTCCTGCCCACTGCCATCTCCACACACCACCAGGTGCATGTGGAGCCACTATCAGCTCTGGCCTTCTTACGGCACGCAATGCTGACAGCGTGTCACGAGGGCCGTGTCAAGCTGCCGTGCGCTCCTTGCTTTCCCCGCTGCCCCTCTCCCCACCAGGTGCATGTGGAGCCGCTATCAGCTCTGGCGTTTCACGAGGGCCGTGTCAAGCTGCCGTGCGCTCCTTGCTTTCCCCGCTGCCCCTCTCCCCATCAGGTGCATGTGGAGCCGCTGTCAGCACTCGCCTTCTCACGAGACGCAGTGCTGACAGCATGCCACGAGGGCCGTGTCAAGCTCTGGCTGCGACCAGGCGCCACCCCCCCTCCCGGCAGCATCGCTGCCACCTCCACCCCTGCCCCCTCCGCTGCTGCTGCCACGTCTTTCCCTGCTGCTGGTGTGGCTGCTGGTGCCACTGCAGCCATGCCTGCTGCGTCCGCCTCGCCTCTCCGGGGGGACCCCCAATCAGGTTCTCCCGCCCTCTCCTTGTCTGACCGAGGGCTTACCAGCAACCGCACGGGCACACCAGAAGCTGCGGGTGCTGCTGGTGTTGGTGGTGCTTCTGCTGGCAGTATGAGTGCTGCTGCTGCGTCGGCTGCAGCGTCCGCAGTAGCAGCGGCGGCGGGTGCAAGAAGTGCTGTTTCTGGTCGAGGATTCAGATGAGCGCGTGCCTGAGCACTTGTTGCGTGAAAGCACCTCATGGTGTGTGCACGTACGGGCATGTTCGCAGGAGTTTCGTCGCATACGCAGAGCATGGCTCAAGGCGCGGAAAAGGAGGGGGGAGTGCAAAAGGCATGGGTGTGACCCACGGCCACACACCTGAGTGGGTGATGCATTCAAATGGCTTCATTGTGAGCCCAAGTGCCCGTGGGTACTGCTATGGCTATGGGTGTGGCCTTACCGTATGTTGATGTCAGATGAGGTTATGCAGTATTGTATGCAACTGTTGCCATACTATCACGGGTGGCAATGGCATGGGATGATGTTGATTAATGCTATATTCATGTGTTGCAGGGGTGTGGTTTTTGGGGGGTGTCGGTTAGATGAGCTGTCCTGATCTTTAGTGGAAGCATGGGCACGCTCGCATGCATGCCCCCATACAATGTCATGCAGTTCTCATCTGGTGGCAGCTGGTGAGGGTACCGTATCGCCCCGGATAAAAGCGCAGGCCTATGATAAGCGCATGCGCTTCTATCTGGAGCAATGCGCTTATGGCCGATCCTCAATTATAAGCGCACCCCCTGTAAAACCCTGACTTATTATAAGCGCATGTATAATATTAAAATTTGAATTTGCTTGAAACGGTAACGAAATTCCAATTTGCAGCGAGGTCACACCAATTTCGGTTCGATTGACTCGCGAGGACCTTACATTCTGCGCGTCCAGTCATTATGAGCTGGAATTCCGGCGCAATGACGTGTAACTGCCCCTGTGTGCCCGCAGAAATTCGCCCGCGTGCGACTCTGAATTGTGACCCCCTATCATTGCGCTTCGATTAAAATTGCAATAAGGGGATGTACAATCTGGTGCAGTAAGAATATAAATTTGTATTAGTCATTATATAAGCGCATGCGCTTATATTTTTTACTCAATTATAAGCGCACCCCCCTAAAAAACACTGATTTATTATAAGCGCACCTGCGCTTTAATCCGGGGTAATACGGTATCACTGCATATGCGGCTTGGGCCGGGAGTGGTGTGGTGGTGGTGGTGGTTGTGGCACCACAGAAGGTGGTTAGATTACATGGTGAAAGAAGTTGAAGGACGAAGAAGAGGAAACACCTGTGACCTGTCCCACTATAAGGGTACATGACATGGCATATTATTAAACAAAAGCCTTGGCAACTAAACCTTGCTACCGTATGTATCAGCAATGGCATACCCAGTGTTAAGCGGGGTTCCTACCTACCTACCACCTTGATATGACCTACCGTAGCATGTATCACCTACCATGTATCATGTAAGGAGAACCTGGAGACAGGGTGTGCCCCATCTGGTCACCTGCACGCTGCCTGCTAGCTGCAGGCACACGCTTTCCCATGCTGCCTGCCCGCAGACTCTATTCTGCCAGCTGGCTCATTTGGATTGGATCTTGCCAGCTGGCTCTCTTGGACTCAACACTGCCAGCTGGCTCACCTTGACCTGCACCCAGCCAGCTCCAAACCAAGTGTTGTGCTGCACCTGCGAGCCTATTGTTGCTCTGCCACGGCCGAGCCTGAGCGACGGGAACCAGCAGCACGCAGACGCACATCGCTGCCGTGCATTTGTGCTGCGGCCAACGCGCCTCCTCCCATAGCTGTTGTTGCTGCTGCTGCTGCGCTTGAGGGTCCTATAGGTGCTGCGCCCTTTGAGGTGGGAGCAGCAGCAGGGCGGTTGGGAGTGGTTTGCGCGAACATCTCTGGAGACATGGGGACGATGGCCATGGCCTTGTGCGGCTTCTTGCTGCCCTTGTGGCTCTTGGGGTGCAGCTTGGAGCGGCGCTGGCGGAACATGTGCGTGTAGAGGTGCAGCCAGAAAAGCGGATAGGCCGCTAGGATGACCTGCAGGGGGGGGAGAGCGCAAAAGAGGGGGAAAGCGGAGTGACTTCTTATTTGGCTGCGAAGAGTGGCCGGTGGCTGGCACGGGTGCATGTGTTATCAGCAATCACAAGGACGACGTGGCACTCACAATGCTGACGTGACACTCACAATGCTGACATGTCACTCACAATGCTGACGTGGCACTCACAATGCTGACGTGGCACTCACAATGAGGACGTGGCGCTCACAATGAGGACGTGGCGCTCACCATGAGGACATGGTGGCAGTGGAAGGGCAGGGCGGCGAAGAGGAAATCGAGGGGCCGCTCCGCCTTGACGAATGGCAGCGCGCTGTATATGAGCACCACTGCGCGCATGGGGGAAGAAAGGAGAAGGGAGGGGGAGATGAGAGGAGAGACGTGAGGGGGGGATGGGAAGGGGGAAGGGAGGGGGGAAACGGGAGGCAGATGAGCGCCATTGCGTGCGGGAGGGAGAAGGCGGGCACGGGCGGAGCGGGACGTGGCGGTTGGAAGGGGGAATATGGTTGGGGTGACCAGCGCAGGACTTTCGCCAACCACCGTCGTCCGCGCCACTCACTCTCCCCGTCTCTCACTACCTCCCCCGTTTCCCCGCCCCGAGACTCACTTTCCCCGCCGAACATGCCGATGGGGTAGAGCGGGATGAACGCCGAATAGCGCAGCCACGTGAGCGCGCGCGGACACGTGCCCAGCAGCGAGAGCGCGTACTGCGGATAACGGATGACCTGCGGGGGAGGGCGGGACGAGGCCAGGACAGATCGGAGCGGGTGAGGGGGAGAGCATATGCGGAACCGGGAGGAGCGGAGGGCGAAAAGAGCCTCGATTTTATTTAACGCACGTCGGGTCTCAAGCGCTTAATACGTCAGTTCGATAACAAATTTGCTTCAACTTTTTCCTGAGCGATGCAGCAAGCCGGTGATTGTATTTAAGCCCGCGCTCGCAACAAGCTGAGGATGTGCTTCGGGATTGCGAACGCACGAGCGCGCGTGTGGAGCGCTACGCACGTAAAAATTTACGGACTGTACTGCGCCGCACCCCGGAGGGAGGGGGCTATGAACCTTGAGTCAGCGAACGCACGTGCAGGGCGGCGCGCATCTCGGAGGGAAGGACGCACCTCGGAGGGAGGGACGCACCTCGGAGGGAGGGACGCACCTCGGAGGGAGGGACGCACCTCGGAGGGAGGGACGCACCTCGGAGCAGCACCAGACGCACCTCGGAGCAGCACCAGGAGCACCTCGGAGCAGCACCAGACGCACCTCGGAGCAGCACCAGACGCACCTCGGAGCAGCACCAGACGCACCTCGGAGCAGCACCAGACGCACCTCGGAGCAGCACCAGACGCACCTCGGAGCAGCACCAGACGCACCTCGGAGCAGCACCAGACGCACCTCGGAGCAGCACCAGACGCACCTCGGAGCAGCACCAGACGCACCTCGGAGCAGCACCAGACGCACCTCGGAGCAGCACCAGACGGCGAGCAGCACGAAGAGCGCGGCGTGCGTGTGGAGAGCGGGCGTGCGCCCCACCACCGCGAACAGCACGAAGCTCCGCCCCACCCACTGCACCAGCGGAGCCACCAATCCGCTCCGCACCAGCCCTGTGGGGCGAGGGATTGTGGGGAATGGGGGCGACGAGGGGGAGGGGGGGAGTGGAGTGAGCGTAGAGGGGAGGGCGAGGTGCGGGAACTGTGGAAAAATGTTCGGAAAGGAAAAAGGGAATTGGTGGAGACAATAACGAACGGAATTGCGTGGAAAAAGGGAAAGAGGGGAAGTGCGGGAAAAGAAGAGCGGAAAGTGGCAGTCAGGGGGAGGCGATTCGTACCCGTGGCGGCATGCACGGTCTCCAGAATGGACGCGAACTGACAGACGTCTGCAGGGACGGGTTAAGGGAAAGAACCAAATATTGAAATTAATAGTTGTTACAGGCACGGAGCAAGATTTAGACGGCATCAACTGCGACCCTAACCATGCTGCGGCATGCCACCTCTTTTCATCGCCCTCCCGACGCGACAACGAAAGGTGGATGAGGGTGCAGCAGGAGGGTGGGGGAAGAGTAGGGTGCGCAACGTACAGACGAGGGGCCAGGCGGAGTGGAAGGCACCGGCGATGGAGGCGGTGGTGGCGGCGCTGTGCATCATGGCGGCTAGCGCCGCGGCCCTGATGTGGCGGCGGGCGGATGGGGCAGGGTGGGACGGCGCAAAAAGATGAAGCAGGCGGATGGAAGCGCAAATGGTGTGGAACGCGAGGGGCAACGGAACGTAGTGCGCGATTCGGGGTGCATGGCGGAAGGGGATGCACTGGGGTGGGGAGGACGAGGGTAATGGAGTCCCGCTGGGGCTGGAGAGAAAGGCCAAAGAAGCAGGGAGTGGCAGCGCTTGGCGCGGCGAGAAGACGTGAAGACGTACCATCCAGCGGCCTGCGCAAGATTGTACGCGGCGAGATACGGTTTTGTAAAAGACCCCATTTTCGTGAATAAGGAAAAGCAAGTTATCGGTGGGGACGTAGTCTAGCTAATGTAAAAGTGAACCAAGAAGTGTCAGTGTTTCGGAGTCTCGTACGCATATGGTCTTGTAGCACCGCGTTAGCTATTCGTGTAACTAACGCTAAGCTACTGCTTTTGGCAAGCTCGCTTCGTCCTTTGATGCTCCTACGTCTCGAGAAAATCCGCGCGTTTTGCGGTTCTAGCTGGAATTGAAGCAGGAAGGAAGTCGAGCAGTCGGCACGGAGGTGCACCCAAGCCAAAGAAGGAAAATTCACTCACTAGGCTCTTTTCTCCCGAGTCTCGACATCCTTCTGAAATTTCAACCAAGTTGAGCAGTCGGTTCGGTCGGCTAGGTACCCCCGTTTCTGCACTCTCCTCGAACCCCAAAGATTCACCGGCTTGGCCCAATTCCCGAAATTCTTGCCGTTGATGCGACGATGCGACTCGACGAGTTAGTCGCAGCCTACGGTACACGACGACTTTGCACATCGCCTCCACTAGTTGACACCTTGGCAAGCGACGTGCGCGAGATTTCACGAATGTCCTCGCTGAATGTTGATGGTGAGTGTGAGTGGATTCCAAAAGAAACGGAACCGCAACGAGTCGCATGGTGTTGTGACGGGCGTCGCACGCATCAGCATCCCCGAACAGAATGCGGGCGCCAAAGCATTTTCCAACAGCCCGCGCAAATGCACGACCAAAATCTGCGACAGGGGAACATTCCGTTTCTTGCGAACTAAGCTGTAACGAATACTTGCCGAGCTAGGGTAACTTGTTCGTTGATTAAAATTCTTGTTACTTACAGAAATGTGATTGTTACATGCCTATTTGAATAGTTCAGAAAGTTGCTGCATGGGCCAATATCACTAACGAGATAGTGTTTGGTGAATTTGCGCTTCACAAGCACGCTCAGCAACATGCAGATTCTTGTTTCGAGACGCCCTAGAAAGCGTAGGAATTTTCGCAGTCATCATGCGGAATCGGACGGCACTCGACGCGCGGCAGCATGACTCGATCCAAGCAGCAGGGGAGGCAGTCGACAGAGACGGCGCTGTCCGCGGGTGGCGATGGCGCAACCCCAATCCTCCTCTTCCGCGTCGCCATTCGCGAGGTAAGAGAGGATTCTGGGGGAGCACTACGTGCGATTGATAGCCCGTGATTCGCGAATCTCGCACGTCGCGACCTGCGCATCTCTGGCCTCGTGGCTCACCTTCCAGTGTGCTCCTCTTCATCCGTCCGTGCTCGCCGCACTTCGCGCCGCTTACATCTCCCATGATCCTCACGTATTTCCGCATCCCTCAAACCCCCTCACCACGTCGCGTCCCCCTCATGGCGCCGCACTTCCGCCTCGTGTCGCCCAGCGCCGGAAGAAGTCGTGGCAGACCGCCTTGTGAGCGTCAAGTGGGCGGCAGCGGCTGTCCTCTTCCTCTTCTTCGGCTGCCCGATCTTCCTCCCCGCGCCCCCCACCGACTGCCAGTATCTCGCGCCCTTACTCCCCCCCCGCCTCCGCCTCTTCCCCCAGCACCCCTCCGCCGCCGTCTCCCCTTCACCACTGCGCCATGGGGTATGCCGCCACTGCAGGAGTCGTGGGGGGCGGAAGGCCAGGGGCAGCGCGGTACGTGGTGACAATAGCGGATGATGCTATAGAGGGTGCGCGGGAGGGGAGTCTCAGGTGGGCAGTGGCGAATCTTGGGGGAGGGACAGGGGGAGGGGGGGAGCGGCAGGGGCTGTACGTGACATTTAACCGGTCGATGACGATTCGGCTCAAGTCTCGGCTGTTCCTGGCGTCGCACACGACGATTGACGGGCGGGGGGTGCGTGTGAGGCTGCTGGGCAACGGGCTGGTGCTGCAGAACGTGACAAACGTCATCATCCACAACATCGAAAGTGAGGAGCAAGCTGTGACGCTGCTTATCCACCTCAATGCTGACTGCCTTGCCTCCCTACCACAAGATTTCCCAGTGGAAGCCAAACTTATTCACTTATCCAAGCCATGACAATTGCATGTAGTATATCAAGTTCACTTTACACCGGGTGTGTTTCTCTCTCCTTTGTGTTCCTTTGCAGTTGGCAACCAGCCTGGGGATCATGACGTGCTTCCCATTCGCAGCAGCCAGGTGGTGTGGATTGACCACTGCCACGTGTACAATGGCCACCGCGGTACTGTAGACGTCGTATACAACTCTACGGATGTGACTATATCGAATTGCCGCATCCACAACCACCGCTTGACCATGCTTCTAGGGGCGGACGACTCGCATGAGTACGACCGCAACATGCGCGTTACAGTGTACCGCAACTGGTTTGAGAAATCCGGGCAGCGCCAGCCGCATTGTCGCTGGGGGCAGTGCCACGTGGCCAACAATTTGTACACCGACTGGGCGTTCTACTGCCTTGGTGGGAGAGTCTTTGCCAAGATTCGGTCAGAGGCGAATGTTTTCCGTGCAGGGCGGGCACGGAAGGAGGTGACACCATGGTTTGGAGAAGCAAGCTTGACAACTCCTGGTTTTGACAACACGCCAACGATTCTATCATATGGCGATTTGTTGTTGAATGGAGCGACCTTCCACCAGTTTAAAGGGAAGGAGCCCATTTTTGATCCGCCTTACCGGCTTCCTCTCTATGATGCCTCGGCTCTCATGGAGACTTTCCTGAGGCAGAGTGCCGGCCCTCAGTACCCATTCAAATTCATTAGATCCTACTTTGACTGGGATGCCTAACTTGTATAGCAATAGCGGTGTAGCTGCTGGCTAATCAACCCATACTGTAGATAATCCAGATTCCAAGAAGTGTCGATGCACGAGTTTGTTTTCACGAAAAATGCCAACTCAGTCGCGTGTCTTCGTGTGTAATAAACGAGCCACGTCTGTCGCAAATCGTCGTCTCATCGTCGCAGGCAGGTGCGGCGGAGATGCCAAGCAAACCCTCCCGCGCTGCATCGCAGGCAGCCACCCAGGTGTGGGTTGACCTCGAACTTTCCTTCCTATTCCTAGATTCTACCGTCTTCTTTACGTTTGTGCGTTCCACTCACTCTAACCCTAGGTTCCGTAATTCCGTGACTCCCCCTCGCGCTTCGAAGTGCTCGTTCCAGCATGGCCTCTCGCGGAGGAGCGACGCCGTCTAAGGGTTGCCTGCAGCGGCTACAGCGAGAAATGAAGTTAATTACCAAGGTTCTGACGCCTTGTCTCCAATTCTCGAAGTGCATTGAAAATTGTGCTGACGCTTGAGTCACCATGCCGTCGCTCTCGCCGTTGCCTAATAGTTCTCGTTTTTTTCCTCTAGTTCACGTGATAACTTGTCGCTTAGGTTCTATCTTAAGTTCCCGTTTGGTGAGCGGTTGGTCTAAGCCGGACTCTCCCTGTTCTCCCGCTCTATGCGGTGTGACCCACATCGCCTCTATTTCAGGAACCGCCTCCGCACATCCGCGCGAAGCCGAACCCCGCCGACATGCTGGACTGGCGTGAGTGGCCGCTTCAACATATGCGCTTGCACTGGCCATCCTTAGCTCTTTCCGCGTGCTCCATTCCTCCCGCTTCATACCTGTGCTCCTGCCAACATCCTGCCGTCGTTGTTCCGCCGGTCTCTCACATTGGTTACCTTCACGTTCTCATTCGCATTTCGGACGTCACCACCTCCTCCACCTTTTCTTCTCTCGCCAGGCACCACCCTCCACCCACCTCGTTCCCCCCCTCCCCCCGTTCCCCCCCTCTCCAATCCCCCTCCTCGTTCCCTCCGCGCGCCAGACTTCGTGTTGGAGGGCAGCCCGGGCACGCCGTACGAGGGCGGGTGGTACCACGGACGGCTCAGATTCCCCGCCGACTACCCCTTTAAACCGCCGAGCATTATGATGCTTACCCCCAACGGACGATTCGCCACCAGCACTCGCATATGCATGAGCATGAGCGATTGTGAGTGGGCGGGTGATTGTGAGTGGAGCGAGCGACTGTGGGTGGGGCGGGCGTTTGTGAGTTGATGCTTTCTTCACGGGTTCAGCTCCCCGTGTGGCATCGTGGCGTATCTCGTCTCGTATCCCGCTGACTGCTCGTGCCCCCCTGTGCTGGTGCCCCCCTGAGCTCGTGCCCCCCTGTGCTCGTGCCCGCCTGTGCTGGTGCCCCCCTGTGCTCGTGCCCCCCTGTGCTGGTGCCGTGGCTGTGTGCAGTCCACCCTGAGACGTGGAACCCCATGTGGTCCGTCGCCAGGTATCGTCCTCCGCTCGCCCTCGCTCTCCCACACCTTCGCTCTCCCACACCTTCGCTCTCCCACACCTTCGCTCTCCCACACCTTCGCTCTCCCACACCTTCGCTCTCCCATGCGCTCTCCCACGCGCTCGCCCTCCCCACGCCGTTAATGCACCTCACGCTGTACTGGCTTTGCACTCTCGCTTCATGCTCCGCAGCGTGTCTGCAAACATTTGTTCCTTTGCGCATCGCAAGGTTCTTACGTTTCCCGTCATGCCATCACACCACTCCAAGTCCTCGTGGCCTGTGAACCATCCATCCCATCCTCACCGCATTCCACCCCCCCACACCACCGTCCCTTGCCCCTTCGTTTCCCCTACAGCATTTTGACCGGCCTTCTCTCCTTCATGGTACGTGTTGACCTGGTTCTGTGATTTTGCAGTGTTGCGGTGCCTTCGTGGCCGCACTCGCAGGCGCACTCTCACTAGCAGCACACACAAGCAGGCTGTTTGCAGACTGTTCACACGTGCACCATTTCTCACGCGCAATGACAATTTTGTCAAAACTGTGCCAGTTTTCCAAACTGTGCATTGCGGTGCTGTGTGGTGCAATGGGCATGCTCTCACTCACTGCCATCCATGTCTTGTCTGCCTGCCTGCCACCTTATCTGCGCTCACTGCTCCCTGCTCCCTGCTCCCTGCTCCCTGCTCCCTGCTCCCTGCCACCGCTCCCTCTGTGCCCCCTCTCCATTCTCTTCCCTTGACAACCAGTCGGACGATGCAGTGACGGCGGGCAGCATAGTGGCGTCGGAGGCGGACAGGCGCAAGCTGGCACGCCTCTCCATGCCCAACAACTGCCGCAGGTACCGCCCTTGCTGCCTTGCTGCCTTGCTGCTGTGCTCCGCTTCACCTTCTCTCCATCCCATTCCCCTGCCCACATTCCCCTCGCCCTCATGGCACCCGCCTTTGTGCCATAAGGTTTCTTCTCACCAATCCTGGGTCAGCTGCTCTCATATTACTCTTTTCACTTTACCCCTCATGCACCTTCCCCCGCAAACCCCTCTCTGCCTCCCCTCTTCTTTCCCCCCTTAGCCCCGTGTTCCGCAAGCTGTTCCCCGACCTGGTGGACAGCTACACCTCCTCACTGGCATCGGCAGCAGACGCAGCAGAGGGTGGTGCTGATGCCGCCAGCAGGGCACAAGGGGAGGGCGCAGAGGGGAGGGGGAAGGGCGCAGGGAAGGGCAGGCGGGTAGTGGAAGCTGCTGCTGGGGTGGTGGGCGGGCGGGAAGGGAAGGGCAGTGAGTGGGGGAGGGATTTGAAGTTAGTAGGTCAGGGTGGGGCAGAGAGAAAAGAGGGGGGGCAACGGAGGGTGGTTACAACAGGAGGGAAGGTGGGTGTTGCTGGTGCGTTCGGTGCAGGGAAGACAGTAGGGGCAGGAGCGGCAGGATCTGGCAGTGCGAGTGGGAAGCAGCAGCCGGGCATATCTAGCTTGTCGTTTTGGGTCACGGCTGCTGTTGTGCTGCTGTGTGGGTGTGTCATGGCGGTGCCATTCCTTGATTCCTTGTCCTCCTCCTTGCTTCGGTTATCTTGACAGCCGACATTCTGCATGGCATTGTTTTTGTTTCCATGTGCTGTACTTGCAAATTTTATTATCGTACAATAGCTCAAACCGGTTGTACTTTCTGTATATTTATATTATTTCTAGTTCCTTCGTAGCGGGACAAGCTTGAATCGCGGGTTTGGTCGTTCCAATCGCAGCGCAACCTCCCATGTGATACCCCTGCCGTGCCGTGCCGTGCCCTACGCGTGAACAGCAGCTGAAGCCCGCTGCTGCATTTTCAACCGAAGCCCTCTTCACCTTCCCTTCAATCATTCCTCGTGCACACGCTCGCTGCCGCTGCCACGTTGCTGTCCTTGAAACCTCCAGGCCCAATCTTCCATATCTCCAAAAGCACATGACTTCCAAGTTTCGAGGGTAGCAGTGCTCCCTGCCTGGCTCATCATTCGCGTTGGTCGACGCTGCTTTCCTGCAGATTCAAGTCACGGAAACCAATCGCTCGTGCCTCTTAGGGCTGTCTCGTCGATCTGCCGTCCTCCCCGCGCCACGCCATGAAGAGCCCCAGCGCGCAGCTCTCGCACGCGCTCACGCGCATCCACGCCGCCATGCACCGCCCGCCGTCCCCCGCGCCTGCGCCGCCATCATCCCCGCCCTGCGCGGGGAGCCCTCCTGACGACGCCACGCGACGGTCTGCGAGTCGCCGAGCTTCGCAGGAGCGCACGGCGGAGTTGCTGCAGCAGTCGTTCCGACCTAAGGCGCAGCCACTAGCGCCACCCGCTCACGCCTGCGCGCCCATTCCGGGGTTGCCTGATGGCGGCGGCGGGAGCGAACGGCGGAGAGGCGCGATGAGAAGCAGCAGCGGGCCGCGAGAGGGACGGTTTGGGGGAGGGCCGCCGCGAGGGACGGAGAGTCCCGCAGCGCCGGGACGCGTGACGCTGAGGAAGCAACTGTCAAGCGACATCGCGCCGCTGCTGCTGCGACTGAAGCGACAGGCCACGCCCACGCGCGTCCGCAGCCAGTCGCCTGTGCTGTCACCTGTGCAGTCACCGCGTGATGTGTGGGAGGCTGCGGAGGCGGGGAGGCTGTTGGATTGGATGAGCAAGGATACGTACTGTAATGGCACGTCTGCAAGGGCTGTTAGTGAAGAAGCGGAGATTGGTTCCCCACCCACAGCAAGGCCTGCTATTGCAGTTGTGAGGAGGACGATTCAAGCCCAGTTGCAGGGGCAGCCATGGTCCCCAAACAGCACCTTGGAACCAGTTGATGATGACCTGTCCCTGCAGCGGGATGGGCGCTCTCCGGCCGCCTGTTGCCTCGGGGATTCACCCGAAGATCGTATTGAGGTCCCGATGAGCACAAGGAAATGTTGCACAAGTGCGGTGCAGCATGTTTTGTGTGAGAGGAATCATAACCGGCAGGCATTGCGCCAGCGGCGCTCCTGTAGCCCATATATACCACTGGGAGTTGCTTCATGTGAGACAGGGCGCCAGATTCTGGCAGAAAAACTGTCTTCCCAAAGTAAAGGAAGGGGGCGGCTTGCACAAGCTATTACTGCAAGGCACCAAGTGGTGCAGGATCAGCGGCCTAGATGGAGCTTATGATTTGAATAAAGAGAGCTTTTGTACAAAAAAGATACAAAACTAGGAAGTATAGCAGCCGCTCTGATGTATTGTAGGAAATATATAATGATTGAATCTGCTTCCAGCTGTGCTGAAATAAATGGGAAATGAGTTATTGTTTACTTATAACAGCAATATGAAGTGTTCCGGCGGAATCTTCTAGGCTCAACAGGTACAGAAGGCACGGGTTTTGTCTGTCGCGACCGGCCAATCGTCGTCAAGTAACAGCCTCTATACCTGGGATCTGCCGAGGCTCGGATGACCTACGGGGCGGGGAGCCTCGAGCAAGGCGAGTCGAGGCGAGACCAGTCGAGTCGAGGGGGGGCCAGGGAAGGACCGCGACGTCAGCAAGAGCAAGCGCTGGCAAGTCATGACAAGTTGACAAACAAACCTTCGCCATAGTTCCTCCCAGTCTGAAACCTACGTCTCATTTTCTGAGTGTCTTATCTTTCCAGCGTCTCGTACCTGCTCGCCCACGCTTCGCTCAACGCCTTTCACAGTCGTCTTCACTTGCTCTTCGCCTGACGTTACGGGTTTTGCTGACTGCTCTGCTCTTTTACGCTACCAGCTGCGAGTCCCAGTGGAAGCGCCATGGCCGATGAGGTTTCGCTCGCTGAGCAGGTCCGTTCCGGCGTTTTCCTTTGGAGACGTTTCTAGGATTTGACAGTCGGGTCTTGATTCCGCACTTAACGATGGCAAACATCTCGTCACCTTGCTTTCCCGTGTGTTTGATTGTTACGTTACAAATTGCGTACTCTCTTTGAGTGCTGAGTGATTAGTTACCCTGTGGATATGTTTCCGTGTTTCTGTTCCTTCCTCATCCGTCGTTGCATTTTTCCCTTTTAAATTAGCAGCGGCGGTTGGCGATCTTGTATGCACTCCATACCTCCTCACTCGGTAGCTTGACATAGAACCCTTGCGGATTTTCACGCGCGCTGTGCGCTTGTTCCATGATATAGGTCCAGCATGGTCCATGATCCCCGATTGTAAATCCTTGCGCCGCCATCTTTGATTCATGATTTGTGCAGGAGGCTCGGTTGAAGAAGAAGTATGGCGGGGCTCTGCCTAAGAAAAAAGGACTTCTTTCCAAGGTATGAAGCCGCCTTCTGTTTTATCGTCGCTCTCTCTATGATGCATGCCTTGGATTCTTCTTGCTGATCTGCTTCAATCGGTATAGCTTTTGGTTGCACATTCTGTTTCGTCCGTCTTTGGTTCAATACACCTAGTTTCGCTGCTTCGATGCACTCTCATCCGTCGCTTCGGCTTCTTTTCCAAAAGAGCTCATGTTCAATCGCCCGCTTGCTACGCATCTCCCGCCACGTGTACCCGCAGGGCCACGAGCGGGCCTTCTTCGACTCCGCCGAGTGGGCCATCCAAAAGGTACGATCGCGTCGCAATGTGTCACGTCGCATTTTATCGCATCCTGCTGCGTTTCGCGTCTGCTTGCCGGTCATTCCCACCCTAACCGTTCTCGCATCTGCTTTCGCTCCGTGCCTTTGGCGTGCTCCCACTGGCAGCAAAAGGGCGCCAAGCCAGCAGCACCGGCAGAGGAGGGTCTGCAGCCGAAGCTAGAGGTACGTAGGTTCCACGCATTAGGATGTTTTGAGATAAAAATGTAAAGAAAAAAGAATGCCGGTGTATGCATGTGTCATCCATTTACGCAAGGCCATGTGTGCGCAAGTGCATGCATATGTGGTTTCTTCAATAAAAAATGTCCCTTGCTGCACTGCTTGCCGGATCAGCATGAGACTGACATGCCGTCCATGGCATTCCTGGTTGTGGATCGACCTGTGTTGTGGGTGCATACAGCCTACCCCACATCAACCTGCCACGGGTCGTCGCTCCGGACTGGCTGAAGGCTGACTCGTGACTTGGGGTTTGCCCCGATACATTGCACATACACATGGTCAGTGCTCGTGTGTGACCTTCTGGTGATTGCTTTGCTGCTGCAGCTCACTCCTTTTCTTTCCGTATTTGCTTCTTCATCTTGTCATTTCATAGCTGATCTTGGAGGCACTTGTGCACAGCTGAGTCAATCACATTCCCTTCTCTCTTCGGTGCTGCTGCAGGCACCAGGAAATGACCAGGTGCTGCACAAACTCATCAACATGACCTCTTCTGCTTTACCCATGGTGCATTAAAGCATTTTATGCTCCCATCCCAAATTGTCACTCAAGCGCCTCCTTTCTGAGAAACACACATGAAGACCGGCCCGCACTAAGATGGCACACATGTCATGACAGGCCTTCTTTCATTGTCATTTTTCTTGTACACAATTTCCCTTATACCATTCTTGGTAAAAGCTTTGATATGGTCGGAAGTATGTGCTTGTTGCAGAGCAGCAGCAGAGTGCAGGTGAAGCATGAGATTTGTAAACGTATAGAATGACTCCCAAGGATCAATTACAAAACCACGTTGCAAAGCAGACACATGAGCTTCATCCCCTACCGAGAAGTCCTTGTTTATTTTGCGCGATTAGAGAAAAGTGGAAAAGCAGCACGCCTCACACGTGGCAGTCTAGTCCTTGGAACCTCCGCACGAGTGTGCCGTTGTTAGTCATGCTTCCAGGCCTCCACTGCATCATGCTCCCTGCCCACTGCAGCGCAGCGCTTCCTCAGCTCTCGGCCGCGCAGCCTCCCCCCATCAATCACCCTTATCCTCTCCGCCACCCCAACAGCACCCACGCTTCGAGCGCCGGGGGAAACCGGACAAGGCGCAACTCAGATGAGCGCGAGGAGGCCACGACGTGAAGTCGCAACTCGTACGCCACACGCGGCTGCGCGCTATTGGTCGTTACCGCCGTCACTGTCCTCCGCTGCATCTTCCCCTGCTTGTTCCGCGCTCGCCGCCTCTTTCGCCCGCGCGCGCTGAATCGCCTTCCGCTTCCGCGCGGGAAGCGCCGCCAGGGCCTCCTCTTCCGCCCTCCGCTGCGCTTCCTTGGCGGCCTGCGCGCGGTCCCACTGGCGCTGGATCTCGTTGGCGTGGCGGCGCGATAGGATGTAAGCGAGCATGACGAGGCAGCTGGCCTGCACAGGGCTGATCAGCCGCAGCAGCGCCAGCACGCCCGGCACCACCGCCAGCACTACGTACTTCCACTGCTGCGACCGCTTCACTTCCATGGCGGACCGCGGCGACGGTGAGCGCGAGGCGGGGCCGTGAGCCGCGGTGGTGAGGGGAGTGGGTTGCGATTCAAGGTACTCTAGTTGAAACAAGAAAAGCAGCGACACTGACGAGTGGGGCACGTGGGTCGTCGGGGTTGCTTTCCAAACCACGTCGAGCGCAGCTCATGAAACACGCGTTGGGCAGGGGGGTACCGGTCTGTGTGCGACTGTTATGCGACGATGACGGGGACAACGACGTGTGCGACAACCTACGGGGTCCCGAGAACATGCTTCTGTTACGACTGTGGATGCATATCATCATCTAATTCATCAAGCAAAAGCAAAATCATATAATTATTGTCACGACTCCAAAAGTCGGTGCATCTAGAGTTGACTCCAGTCAATAGAAAGAATTATGTACAAGAAATAAGAGAGCATGCTAGTTCCAAGAAACAAGGCAGGGTATATGCACATGAAGGATGAGATGAGATAAGAGCTACCGGTACTACAGTTCCTTGTTGAACTTCAAATGTGAACTTCTGGCTTGTGATGAGGCACACACTCAGCTTGCCACTGGGGCACCCTTGAGGGCAGAAAGAAGAGGGATCATCGTTGACAGATGCCAAAGCAGCATGACACTGGAACACAACCAAAGAAACACATAATTAAAAGCTGGACCGCGAAAGGAAGCCGTCGCAGGACGAGAAAAGAGACGCAAATGGCAAATTGTGAACATAAAGGGACGCACCTTCAGTCCTGTCAGGGGATGGCGAGGTGGCAGAGAGCGACACACACACCGTACCCTTCCCTGCCTCCGACTCACACACCACCGCCTGCACCGCCTGCCCCCCCACCTCCACTCTCACCGCCACTTCCCTCCCCGCCTTCTCCCTTCCCCCTTCCCCACCCTCCTCCGAACCCCTTCCCTTCTCTCCACACACCAACCCCACCCCGAACCCGTCTCCCGCCTCTTCCTCCCCCTCCCCTTCCCCCTCCTGCTCTGCACCCGCTGCCCCCAGGGGGCGGGGGACGATGACGAAGTCAGAGAGGGGGTCGTAGAGGGGGTCCTTGCCCTTCACCTCGAGGAAGAAGTGCAGCAGGCTGAACACCCGTGGCAGCCGCAGCAGCTCACGGTGCTCTGCCCCTGGCACACCCACGCGGAAGCGAGCAGGGAAGCCGTCCGCCTGCCGTGTGCCAGGGGAGTCGGAATTGGGGTGGTGGGTTGGGTTGGTATGGAGAGGTGAGGCATGGGAGGAGTTGGAGAACTCGAGGGGCATGGAGGAAAGCAGGGAGAGACGGGGAGGGAGAGACGGGGAGGGAGAGACGGGGAGGGAGAGACGGGGAGGGAGAGACGGGGAGGGAGAGAGAGTGCGTAACACACACGAGGTGGTGAGGCAGGGCAGGAGGGAGGGAATGCGAGCAGAGAGCAGCATGGCTTACCAGGGCGGACTCGATGGGAACGGTGCCGTCGCCATGCACGCAGTCAAAGGTGGCCTGCGAGATGGTGGGTGGGGTAGGGAGGGAGGGAGGCATGGGTCGCCATGGAGGGTGAACGAGGCGAGGCTCACGCTTCAACGGGGGACGGGGAGGGCGAGCAGCACAGGCGGCGCAGGACAGAGCGAGCAGCAGGGGCGGGAGGGAGGTAAGAGAGAGGGGGGATGGTTGCAAAGGGAGGGGGGGGTGGGGGGGCAGGAGCAGCTCACATCGGAGTGGAGGATGTCAGGCAGGTCGTTGAGGGGGTCCTTGGGCGACCCATACCTGCCATGCCATCAGAGGGGACGAAACACACGCACCAAGGGAACAAGGAAACACGGGCACTGGCTTAATGCATAGGAGGGCGGCTGGAAGTCATGGAATCGATAGCAAGAGAAATGAGTGTGGACGGAGGGGAAGAAGAGGGAAGGGGCGAGAAAGAAGGAAGCCGGGGGGCAGGGCGAGGGGCGTACTGGGAGTGGAAGGGCGTACTGGGAGTGGAAGGGCGTACTGGGAGTGGAAGGGCGTGTCGAGGCCCGTGCCATAGACGGTGTAGAAGTCAACGGAGGGCGGCAGACGCGCCCTCGCCCAGATGCGCCTTGTCTCGTCAGCCCACGTCACAATGTCCCGGTTGAATGGCAGCGGCACCGTGCGGCCGTTCACCTCAATCTGCAGCATGTGAGGGGGGGAAGCATGCCGCAGCGTGTGGGGGGGGGAAGCATGGCGCACGATGCACGCAGCACAGGTGATGCATGGGAGAGATAAGATACACAGGCGGCATGTCTCATGGCTCGAATAGGTGGGAATGGACAGCACGAACGCAAACTGAGTTGCCGCAAGCTCAGCAACATCCCCCAGCAGCAACCCGCCAGCATGTGCCGCTGCCCTTTCTTTTCATGTGCCCCGCGCACCTTATTGCCTTGCAGTGCTCTGTCCATGGCAGCCAGAATGTCCGGCAGGCGAGTGAACCGCTGCTCCACCACGCCCTCGCCCAATGCCGTTTCCACCACCCCCTCGCCCACGGCCCTCCGCGGGCTGCCACTGCCCACCACCGACTCTGCCCCACTGCACGCCTCGCTGTCGCCACCACTCCCACTGCTGCTCGCACTGCTGCTGCCGCTCTCGCTCCCACTGTCGCTCTCGCTGTCCGTCTCCGCGTCCGCTCCGCCACACACTTCCCTCTCCGCGGCCGCCTTGGTGTCGGGCTGGCGGCGCACGACGCGCAGCTCGGGCTTCTGGCCGCCCCAGTGGAAGTCGTAGTCCGCCATGAGCTCATACACCGACGGACACTCCACCATCTGCGCACGTGCCCGCCGAGGGATGCGCGCACGAGAGTCGCAGGGGGAAGGGGGATGGTGTGGTGAAAAGTCAAGACGCTATGAGCAACAACGAGAACGTGGCGAAACAGAAACAGGTCGCAGGTCCCTTGGAAACGGCGAGCAGATGGAACTTGAGCATTTTAAACTTGTGACCAGCGCGAGAAGGAGAGAGGGGGTTGACGAAAGGGGAGGGAGGGGGAGCGGGGGGGGGGGGGAAAGAAGAGGGAAAGAGGGAAGAGGGAGGGAGAGGAGAGGGATTGGGAGCGCGGGCGTACGAGTTGGTGCATGGTGCACATAACGTACGAGTTGGTGCACATAACGTACGAGTTGGTGCACATAACGTACGAGTTGGTGCACATAACGTACGAGTTGGTGCACATAACGTACGAGTTGGTGCACATAACGTACGAGTTCGTGCACATAACGTACGAGTTCGTGCACATAACGTACGAGTTGGTGCACATAACGTACGAGTTGGTGCACATAACGTACGAGTTGGTGCACATAACGTACGAGTTGGTGCACATAACGTACGAGTTGGTGCACATAACGTACGAGTTCGTGCACATAACGTACGAGTTGGTGCACATAACGTACGAGTTGGTGCACATAACGTACGAGTTGGTGCACATAACGTACGAGTTGGTGCACATAACGTACGAGTTGGTGCACATAACGTACGAGTTGGTGCACATAACGTACGAGTTCGTGCACATAACGTACGAGTTGGTGCACATAACGTACGAGTTCGTGCACATAACGTACGAGTTGGTGCACATAACGTACGAGTTGGTGCACATAACGTACGAGTTGGTGCACATAACGTACGAGTTGGTGCACATAACGTACGAGTTGGTGCATGGTCCACTTGGAGATGAAAAGCGACTTCTGCCAGCCCTTGAGGAACTCCACCCCCGTCAGCAGCGTGTCCATTATGAACCCCGGCGCGCCTGCCAGGGAAGCGCGGGGGGGAGGGGCGGGCGGGAGGGACAAGCGGACGGGCGAGACAGGTAAGGGGTAGTGGGTGTGGCGTGAGGCGAGGGAGGCACGGATGGTGCGGCGAGGGCATGAAAGGGGTGCGCGAGAGACACGACAGACAGTAGGGAGCGGGAGCGGGGGCGGGAGGGGAAGGGGAGAGGGAAAGGGAGCGGAAGAGGGAGGGGTGCGGAAGAGCGGTGGTGGCGCACATCCCGCAACACTCTCACAGGCGCAAACGGAATGACACACGCAGCTCGCTCAACCGCCATCACCGTGCACCCCCCCCCCCCGGCACGCGCAACCACCCCTGGTCGTCTCCGCGCGCACCTCGGAAGGGCGCGGCGATGGAGACCCACTTGCGCACGAGGCGCTTGGCGTCGGCGGGGTGGAGCGCGACAAACGACTTGAAGAGCAGCCCGCCCATGCTGTGCGTCACCACGTCCACGCGCCGCCCGCTCGCCGCCACTATCGCCTCCAGCCGCGCGCGCAGCCGGTCCAGCGACTCCGGCAGCCTGCCACGTGGACGTGCCAGGTGGCAACCAAGAGAACGGTTTACGGTTACAATAAAAAAAGGCGAAGTTGACACATAAAACTGAAAGGAACTTAAAAATTTATTGAAACTGAAAAGAAACGAGAACGCGGTGTGGGAGGCTGACCGGTTGCTCTGGCGGAAGTCGTAGCCGAAGCCGAAGAGCGTCTCGCCGTCCTTAAAGCCCCACTTGCGCATCTCGACGATGGTGTGGTGGTAGTAGCACACCACGTCCAACGGTACTGACTGCCGGGGGGACAGAGCGAACGACGACGAAACGGCGACGAAACGGAAGCGAACGGCAGCGAGATAGGGTGGAGGTGGGGGGACGTTGCAGATGTGAGACAGCGTGGGTGTGAGAGGTAGCACAAGGCATTCACACACAGCAACGGCAAGAGAGCGAGCACTCGCTGGATTGCTATTCACCACGCAACACGGAGGAATGCTCACGACGTGGAAGCGACCAGGTGCTTACGACGTCGAGGCTACGAGGTGCTTACGACGTGGAAGGTAAGCGATGCTTACGACATCGGGGTCGAGGATGTCGCAGCTGTAGAGCCCGTGGTTGTCGTCCGGCACCTCGATGTGCGACTTGTCGTCCAGCGACTCCGACTTGCCTGCGACAAACGCGCGCAGGGAGCGAGGGAGAGCGGAGAGCGGGAGAGTAGGAAGAGCAAGTGAGCGGTAAGACGACTGAAAGCATAAGTAATAAGCAGTTTTGCAGCGGAAGAACTCCAACCTGTTTTAGGATTGTATTTGGACCAAAGTTTGGTGCGAAACTCCTGATCCGCATTATAGAGTCGGACCCATATCCGCTCCTTCTTCTTCCCGTCTTCGCTAACCGCGTTAAGAATAGAGCCTCCAATCCCCGGTATAAGCAGCACAGGATTGAGATCCCCCGCCGTGTCGTGAGGCTTCGGACGCGGCTTCGGCCACCACGGTCGCCAGCCAACCATTGTTGCACTAGTTTCTTCTAAGACTAGCTACTAGGACAACTAATGAGGCGAAACCCTAGAAGTGTGGTTGGACTGGGCGAGCCGAGAATGACGGTTGAAGTGGGGGAGGTGAAGGCGGGATGCAGGGAAGGGAGTCAGGTCAGGAGAGACGAGGTTGGGATTACAGTAGAGCACAGCACCGCACCGCAACGATTGGTTTTGACAGTGCGGTGGTTTGGAAAATGGAATGAACAAGAGAAGTTGGAGGGGAGTGTGTTGTGTGGTGGAGCGGCGATGCGATGGCTGTCCGAACCGAAGCACTTCCCTCCCAAGCCTGACATGCTTTGGGCTCAGCGCGCTCCTCGCCTTGCTTCGGATTCCCGTCAGGGGGGCACCTGATGGACGGGGAACAGGTGCTGCTGACGATGGGCTTGTGTGGCTGGTGGGGCGTTGGCAGAACGTGGCGAACTGTGGCGAAGGTTGTTGTCCCGTCACCAATCAGGCTCGAGCCAGAGCAGATTCGCGAATTCAAGCAAAATCAGATACTGCCAGAAGCGAACCTTGAGTCAGCAGTCTCTCGCCTAACCAGAACCGTCGTCATTTCGCAGTTTCGCCGCAGCATGTAACCCCTTTTCTGCCTTAAATTTGTGCCTCCATATTGTATTCCAGCCTGACTTTTCAGACACCCAGCATCTTATAAATCGTAGGAAAACCAGGTCCAACGATCGCGTCGCACTCATTGTGAGTCTGTCCAATCTCCGGAGCAATGCTGCCATCATCAACACGATAAAACACGAGGCATTGACGCGCGGCGATACTTCCCGCATGGCGTCCCTTCAGCCGCGCCACAGCGGCTCCCCAAAGATCGCGACGCGATCATCCTCCTCGGATGGCGGCAAGCCTCGCTTCCTGTCGGCCGCCATGATCGCCGTCACGGAGCGCAATAGATTCACGGAAATAGTCTTCGCGGCGCTGCTGCTGTCCGCGTCGCTCCGCATCTGGCTCGACCTCCGTGTCCACGCGCCTCGCCCCGACGCCTTCCCGTGCCGCAACGGCGACTTGCCTCAGCCGCCCGACCAATCGGCGTCATCCGCGTCAGCGTACATCAACGACAGCGTCGTAGCGCTGCCCGGCCGCGCGTGGCGGTTGCCGACGGGGGTGGCGCGGGCGTACGGCGGGCTGGGCGACGGGAAGGTGGACCCGGCGCGGTTCCGCCTGCACGTGAAGGTGCTCGTCTTCGACCGCCCCGCGTACGCGCTCCGCTGCCTGCGCGCGCTCGCCGCGGCGCAGTATGACGCGGAGCCCGTCCACCTGGACGTCTTCGTGGACCACCCCTTCGCGCTGCGCGCCGACGCCGCGCCCTGGTCGCCGCGCGCCGCGAGACGCGTGGCGGCCTCCCACTCCCTCATGGCGCAGATCGACGCGTTCGCGTGGCCGCACGGGCCGAAGCGCGTGATGTACCGATCGCAGAGCGCGGGCGTGCAGGGCCAGTGGGTGGAGGCGTGGTGGCCGGAGAGCCTTGCTGACATGGCGCTGATGGTGGAGGACCACGTGGTAGTCTCCCCGCTGTACTACCGCTATCTGAAGCGCCTCCTCGCGCGCTACTACTTCCGCCGCGCGGACTTCGACCCGCACGTGCTGGGCGTGTCCCTGCAGCGCCAGTCCTTCGTGCCCGGGCTGGGCGCGGACCCGCTCCCCCCGCTGGCGCACGGCGCGCCGTTCCTGTACGCGGTGACGGGCACGTGGGGGCAGGCGGTGCTGCCGGGGCCGTGGCGGCAGTTCCGGCTGTGGCTGGACGAGCGGCGGTACAACGGGTCAAGGCAGCCCCTTGTGGGCGGACTCAAGACCACCCAGTGGTTCCGCGACAAGGTGATGGGGGAGGGGAAGGGGGATGGGGGTAAGGGTAGGGAAGGGAGGGGTGAGAGGCCATGGGGAGTTGAGGTGGCGTCGTTGCATCATTGCCCTCCATATCCCTTCCCTTCAACCACCATTCTCCCTCTCCCCACCTATGCTGCTCGTCGGCATGTCCACAGGGCAACAGGAGGTGGTCGCCGTGGGCCATCAAGTGGGCGCACAGCACCGTCATGCTCTCACTCTACCCGCCCCTCCCCGCCAACCTCTCCCTCGCCTTCCCCCTCAAGCGCGCCGCCCCCCCCTCTGATGCCCCCCTCGTGCCGCTGCTCCCAGGGATGGCCGCGCCTGGGGGGAGGGCTGCTGGGGGGGGTGCTGGTGGGGGGAGCGGGGGCAGTGGGGGAGGGGGCGGGGAGGGGGGGGTGGAGGGGGCGGTGAGGGCGTGGATGGAGGGTCCGCTGCCGGGCATGGCGCGGGTGAGGCGGTTCGACCTGTGTGCTCGCGAGCTGCCGCACCTCCCCGTGGGGCACTCCCTGGCTGACCTGCACTCCCTGCTCTCCGCCGTTGCCCAGGTGCGCTGGCCTCTGCCCTCTGCCCTCTGCTTCCCACCCGTGCGACTGTGGGCGAAGTGCGCTTCAATGCCATACCGCAAGGATTCACTCTGTTCACTACTGCTCCTATCAGCACTTTTCCCCTCCCTCTCCCCTCCCCCCTACCCCCTGGCACGCAGGACAAGCGGGTGTCGCTGGTGGTGGTGCCGCGGGGCGGCAGGGACGAGGTCAACAACTGGCTGTGCCACCTGGACGGCAGTGGCCTGCGCTCATTCGTCCTCATCGTCCCCCATGCCAGCCTGGCATCTGAGCTTTCAGCACGTGGCTTTGCTGCCTTCCACCTGCCGCCACTCAGCAGACGCCAGGTGGCACAGGGGCTGGGGCAGCTGACAGCGAGGGGAGGGGTGAAAGCAGTGAGGGAGAAGGAGGGTTTAGAGGAGGTGGAGGGTGAGGAGATGGATACTGCTGGGCAAGTGGAGGGGGAGGGTGAATTGGAGGAGCAGGACGGTGAGGAGGAAGGGGGGGAGGGAGAGGGGGCGCGCAGCAGGTGGACGGCGCGGCACATAGAGGTGGTAGTGGCGGCACTGTCGCAGGGCTTTGATGTCTCCCTCAGCAACGTGGACGCCGTGTGGCGGGGCGACCCCATGGCTACCGAGGCCCTCGGACTCATCCCCGCTGACGTGGACATGTGGGGCCACCTTGACACTGCTGACGTGGCATCCAGCTTCTTTGTGATCCGTTCTCGTGCAGCTACAGTCTCGGCGTGGGGCCAGCTGGCTAAGCTGTGTGCGCAGGTGCCCAAGGGGGAAGCAAAGGGGACTTGGACAAGGCAGAGGTGGGATGTGGGGAGCCGGGGAGTGGCGTGCAGCAGAAGCAGATGCGGGTGCTGCTGACTCAGGCGATGCATTTCAGAGAGGTTGATTCGATACCCTTTGGACGCGATGGCGCAGTGCGCGTGCCGAAGGGAACGTTGTTGCCTGCTCTACTGCCACCTCAATTCGCAACAAAAGGGAAGAAAATTACAGGTATGGATATGATTGGGCTTTGGGTGATAGATGACTACGACTATGCTTGTAAAGCTGTCACATGTAAAAGGAAGCTGTACAGCCCTGCCTAGATTCGTTTTCGTTTTTTTTTTTAATTATTATAATCATTATAGATGTATACTCATTTCGCGAAGGTGCACAGAATTCACAAACCATCTAGTTCCAGATCGTGGCTCATATGCCCAGTGTTATTACTACGTATTAGTGCAGCACCACCCTGAACTGTAAACGCATCTCATCTATACAGCTGACAACATTCGGGCACTTCACGAACCTCGCCAGTCTACGCTGATTCGTTCACAGTTGTCGTCTAAGACCGTGAACCGTCGCCAGAGGTTGGTCGGAGGTTGCTGGCAGTTGTGTGGCTGGGAGGGCAGGACAGCCGATGCGCGACAGCGAGCGGATGTGGCGCAGTGCTGGCATTGGGAGTGACGGTGAGGCAGACAGGGCGTCATCTGAAATTCGCGTTGCTCAGCCGAGACGCGTACCGGGGGGAATGAGCCCCGCCAATAAATGTCGAGGAAATGGTGCAATGTGCAATGTCAAGATGCATGCACCTCCATTTACCCTCCTGCTGCTGCTGCCATGGCTGCCGTTATGCTGCACTGCAACCACACACACGTGACTTCTCCGCATCTGGCACGGAAACCCGTCTCATTGTATCCGTCATTCCTCCTCACCTCCGCACTCATGAACTGAATTCTCTGCCTTCGCAGTTGATGCTCTTTTATTTGTTTATTGGGCCTTTGTTGCTCTCGTCCTCACACGTAAAATACCTGCGCAACGCCGCCGATATCCTGTTAATTGAACGACGAAGTAGCTAGAATGAACGTGACAATGGCGAGCCAAGCAGCAGCACCACGGCAGTGGGTACCGCCCGTTGCGGCGCGCGCGGGGAGGCGGCATAAGAACTCGTGGGGACAATTTCACCTTCAATGGCGGGCGGCAAGTGCGGGGCTGAGGAGCCGCGAGGCGCAAAGACCATCAGGTGAGTGTCGGCTGTCGCTCGCACGCGCCTGTGCGCTACCTGACATGCAATAATTTATTTCAAGGAATGTTTGCTCGCTAATTGTTGCCCCGACACCCCTGCGTTGCCTGGCGTCAAGGTTCTATCCGCGCTGGATTTCCCAATTGCAATTGGCGCCTTGCTATCCCGGCAAAATACGCTGGATTCACCGTAATTGGCGTCATTACACCGTGCTGGGTGCATCGTGCAGCGCGCGCGATTGAAGCTCGCCTTCCGCTGTTTCCCGCATCGCTTCCAGCCATCCACTCCGCAGGCCCAGCTTTTAAGCGCCCATGGCATCGACCGGCGGCATCGCCGCGAGGAGTGAAGGCACTGCGAGTCCGCGCCGCCCTGAGCATCGATGCCGCACGGTGAGTTGTTGCCGTTGCCGCCGCCGCCGCGCACGCTGCTGCAGTCAATCTTCCGCGGTCAAGCTAGCGCCACCATCCACCCACTTGTTTCTTCGCGCTGCGAGTCCTTCTGTCCCCCCCCTGCTGCGCGCTAATTCCGGCTCCGCCGTTGCGCCACCCCTCTTCTCAATTCCCGCTTTTCCGCCACCAGCAGCACCACGGCAGTCGACCCCTTCTCGTTGCTCTCCGCCGTTCCGGCGCTCCGCGCGCCGCCTCTAGAAGAGGACTTAACGAGCATGGCGGTGGGCGAGAGCCTCGCGGGAGGCGGAAGTCGCCGCGCGGAAGAAGGATATCTGAGCGGGGTTTGCGCTGCTGCCGACGTGCCCTCGACGCCCAACCGTCTGGTGCGTGCGCGCGCCCGTCTGCGCCGCGAATATTGTGCTCCTCCGCTGCCCTTCCCCACGCCCTTACTTCTGACCCACTTGTTACAACCGCGCCCCCATGCCCCGCGACCCACAGATTCTCCGCCCTCACCCTCTCTTTTCCGCCCGCCCGCCCGCCAGGCGTCCCGGTTGGGCGTGCTCTTCTTATCCGCCGCGGCGGCAGCAGCGGCAGGAACAAGCATGTCGGCGCAGGCCGTCCAGGCAGAAGCAGTGCGGACGGACGCCTTTCAGGCGGAAACAGTTCGGGCGGAGGCAGTTCAGGCGGAAGTGCAGGCGGAGGCAGCAGCGACAGCAGAGACGGCACCACCAGAGGCAGAACGGCAGGCGGCAGAGATTGCGTGGCAGCTGCCGCCTTTAGCGGTCGTTGCTGCTACAGCCGTGCCATCTGTCGGTCCAGCTGGCGGCAGTCGTAGTCCACGTAAGCAGACAGCTCAGCAGCACGTGGCAGCGCTGGAGGGACGCATGCAGCGGATGATGGCGTGGGTGCGCCAGGGCAGGACGGGGCGGGCAGGGGAAGCGGGGGAAGCGGGGGAAGCGGGGCGCGAGGGGCGCGAAGGGCAGACAACGGCAGCGCAGCAGGCTGAGGTGAGGGCAGCGTCGGAAACCCCCTTCTCTGCGCTGTGCGCTCCGCCCTTTCTTCCTTCCTTGCTCAGCCATACACCCTGTATTTCGTCTCACCGCCTGTTCCTCTCCCATTGTTTTCCCCCTCCTCCCCCCCCCCCCCCCTTCTCCTGCAGCTGCGGCGGCGGGTGGCGGGGGTGGTGGAGGGGCGGAGGGCGACCAGGCGGAAGCAGCGTGGGGGAGGGGGGGATGCGGAGGGCTCGGGGGGGCGAGAGGCGGTGGGCTTGGAGGAGGAGGGCAGTGGAGTGGGAGGAGCGCGGTTGAGAGAGATGGGAGGAGAGGGAGTGCAGTTGAGCGACGGTGGGGAGTGGCTGAAGGGGCTGGCAGAGCAATATGGCATGGCTTTGCCGTCAGCTGTGTTGGCCACCAGGGGTGGAGCAGTCTCGGCAGCAGCTGCCGACCCAGCAGCAGCAGCGGCGGCGGCGGTGGTGGCGGGGAGGGTGCTGGCGGCGCTGAGGCAGGCGGAGCAGTCCACTCGCGCTGCAGCACCCCCACACCCCGCCACGCCACCCGCCTCCACCCCCCCACACGCCGCAGCAGCCCCTCAGAGCAGGGCGCAGGCGCTGCAGCCGGCACTGTCGCCCCTCGAACAGAAACTGGTGTGTCGGTGGGGAAAGAGGAGAGATGAATCGAGTTGTGAGCGGCCATGGATGGTCATTGCTGACGTGCGCCTTGCTGCAACTTGCACCCCTCGCCTCGCATGTGTCTCTCATGCATCATGCCCCTCGCCTGTTGCCCCTCTCATATTTCGTGCCTCTGTCCCTCTCCTTCACGTGTGTGTGTGTGTGTGTGTGTGTGTGTGTGTGTGTGTGTGTGTGTGTGTGTGTGTGTGTGTGTGTGTGTGTGTTTGTGTGGGAGCGCAGGAGGAGGCGGAGGCGGCGTGGCAGCGGTATGAGGCGGCGGTGCAGTGGACGGAGGGGCGCCTCTCAGCGCTCGCCACGCTCGCCCTCACCTCCACCTGCCCGCCCTCATCCTCCCTCGCCGCCTCGCGCACCCAGCTGCTGTCCTCCCTCGCCTTCGCCCAGAAACGAGCAGCTGAGGTGCGCTCTGTGACACGAGGGTGATGCTGTGATGGCATGAACGAATGATACGAGTTTCCCTGCATTGAAGAGTGAGGGTGTTGGGACGTGTGTCGGGCATGTGTGAGCTCTCCATCAGAGATGGGGAATTCAGAGTTGCATTGCATGTGCTGTCCTCACACCCGACTGAAGCTCGTCTCCTGTGCCATTCCGCCCTGCGTGCCTGCAGGAGGAGCAGCGGGTCACCCAGTTGCGCCAGCAGCTCACCAGCAGCCGCATGCTCTCTTCCTCATCCTCACCCTCCTCGCCCCTCTTCACTGCACTGCCTCCTTTCCAATCCACCGTAACGCAACCTGCGGCCCCGTCTCTCCTGCCCACACCGTCACCGCCACCAGCACTGCCCTCCTCGTCCTCACACTCTCCCCACCCACCGCTGCCGCGGTCACTGTCGCTGCCGTCACGACCGCTCTCACCCGCCGCATGGTGCCCCACCGAGGCCGCTCACACCACTCAGACGCTGCCCCATGACACCACCTCGTTCACCAGCACCCATGCTGCCTTCACCATTCTCCAGCAGGTGCGTTGCACGCACTCATCTCTTGCTTCTGTCCATTGCTGCCTGTCTACACCTGCCACTGTGCTGAATGCCATGCTCTCTGTTGGCTTGTTCCTTTTTCTCATCAGGCGCCGGTGCTGGTGGAGGGAGCACAGGGGGGCGAGTGGGCGAGGGAGTTTGTGGCGGAGTCGGTGGCCAGGGAGCTCAGCAAGCGCCGCACTGGCCATGGCCATGCCCCTTGACGTGTGATGTGGCGAGGGAGGCCACCTGCATTACTAGGGAGCAATACTTCGAACAAAAGTTGCAGTTAACTGCCTTACACGGCAGCATTTGGCATGTCTGTACAGGACCTCCAATGTTTTGTTCATTCTAGAGACATATGCATGTGATCTGCAAATGTCAAGGCAGAACCTGGTTTGGTACGAGCATGTGCACTGTTTACGAATGCGCATGGAAACATGTGTCGATTCTATGTATGCCCCTGATCGGATTCCTAAATTTGGATGGTTTTGTGATTCAGAATTGCTATATAATTTGAAGAAGCGCTAATGATTTCGCTAGTTCACCGTGCAAACAATCTAACGTTTATCTATGGAAACACGCTTACAGTGACAGGAAGGGTGGTAAATAAAACTGCACCAGTCTTTTTGTCGGAGAGTGTTGTTTCGAAACAAGTGGACCTGCCAAGACACGGAATGGTTGCTTTGCGGGCCAATGTTGGTGCTCGCGCGTCTGACGAATGGTGTGTTTGCGTTGCGGACAATGCTGCCGCGGTCAGGGAGATTCTTCCAATGAGGTGGTGGCTTGCTGCCCTATCGGAACCCTTGGAGCCACCAATTTCAAAATGTTGTGGTGTGGAGCGAAAGTCGTACTTCCGTGCTGCCCTGATTGGTGGAGTCATGTAGATGCCAACTGAGGAAAGAGGCAAGCAGCATGAGTGTAGTCAAAAGGGTAACTGCTGGTCCCTGGATGGAGGTTACCAGATCCTCCAATTACTTAAGGGGAAACGCCGCTCGCTCTCACGGTGCAGAGGAAATTGAGGAACCGAAACTTATCCAAAAGCACAGCTTCTGCACATGTGACTGAAATCAAACAAAACTCCTTCCAGGATACTGTACAGTGGCAAGCGAGGACACCACCCTCCTGGAATATAGGGTACGGCGCACCCCGAGCGTCCACATAGGCAATTCCAGCTCAAGCTGTTCTGGTTTTCACGTTGTACGTTTTCACACTCCACGTTTCCATCCATTCCTGGCTCCATCCTCACATAGCTTCAGTGGTTCTCGACGTAACAGCGCCACTAGTGTTTGAGAAGACACTGTTCTGCGACCCGAGCAGCGACCAGAGTAGCGTCCATGTTCAGGACGCCTGGCGTGGTTCACAGATGAGAGCGGCTGGCCTTGCCACTCGCACCCGCAGCACTGCAGCCACGACGACTTGCACCACGGCCATGCCTTTCCCCCTTGACCACCACCAAGTTCACATCGTCACCATTTTTCGCACACCGCGATCGGTAGGATAGCCACGGCGATAGGCCGTTCCCACGCGTCCTCGTGTAGACTGGGCGCGTGCCGCTCTTCCTTTCCGCGGAGCGCGGAGCGGAAGGTCTCCATTGTTTCGCCAAAGCTCCGCTTGCGCCTGGCCCTCGTAGCGTGAGGCGCGAGGTGGCGGGGCGGAACAGCGCGGGTAGGTGCATGCGTGTGGCGGTAGACGCGCGAGTCCGCCGGTAGAGCGCGCGCATGGATCCCGCCGCCGCTTCCCCGAGCAGTGATCGCCCGGCAACAGGCGCGGCGGGGGATGCGGAGAGGCGGCAGCGGCAGCGCGTGAAGCAGGAGGTGTGCGACGAGGTCATCCGCAAGCTGCGCGAGGCGCGCCATCCGAGCGCGCAGGCGAGCGGCTTCGACGCCGACCTCCTCGCGCACTTCAACCGCCTCCCCACCAGGCGAGTCGCGTCATCTCCCAATCCCCAATCTGACCCGCCGGTTCGCCGCTTTTCGCCGTCGTTCCCACACACGCGCTTCCTCTGCCAGAATCGCTAGCATGCGACTGGAGGGACTCGTCGCACTGTCGCTCAGCCTGACTCGTTGTGTGCTTGCGCGTGTGCGGCTTTCCGTGGCATGGCATGGCACACTAACTCACTCCATGGCTCGGCGCGCTTGGCGGCGGCAGGTATGCGTTGGACGTGAACACGGAGCGCGCGGAGGACGTGCTGACGCACAAGCGGCTGCTGGAGGAGGCGGCGCGGCTGCACGGGCTGCCCGTCTTCTTCGTCCGCGCCGTCCGGGTACGCGCGCGCCCCCGCTGCCCCCCGCCCGCCTCGCCCGCGCTTGCTTCTGCTTTCATCCCTCATTGCGCTTTTCCCGCCTGCCCCACTTTCCGCCTGTCTCAAGGCCTGCATAGCGCAGCGCAATGCGCGCCGGCGCAAGCGCGCCGTTGAGGCGGCCCTGTGCGCCTCCTCATGCGTGCGCGTGTGCGTCCCCCTTGCGTGCGTGGCGCGCTTCCCCACAGATGGCGGCAGCGGGGGAGGCGGGGCAGCACGCGAGCATGGAGACGGACGACCACCATCCCGCCTTGCCGCCCCACGGGTACAACCCCCTTCCCCCTTCCCCCTTCCCCCCCCCCCCCCCCCCCCCCCCCCCCCCCCCCCGACACCCCTTGGAGCCCTTCCTCCCTCGTCTCTCCTTGATCCCCCCCGTCATCGCACCTCGTTGCCTCCCTTCACGCCAATCCTCCTCGTCCCTGCCTTTTGCCCTTCGCCCTTCCCCTCCTGCAAACCTTCAATTCCGCCCCCTCCCTCTCCCCCATCCCCCTATCCCCCCTCCTCTCTCCGCTCCCCCTATCCCCCCGCCTCTTCCCCCTCCCCCTATCCCCCCTCCCTCCCCCCCTACTCTCCCCCCGCGGAGCAGAGCGCTAGCGCCGCCAGCGTTTGGGTCGTCGCCGAATCTGGAGGAGCCGGTGGCGGGCGGCGGGCAGGGCGGTGCGGGCGCCATGGACGCCGACCGCCACAACTCGCTCAGGTGCTCGCTCAGGTGCTCGCTCGTGCTCGTGCTCGTGCTCGTGCTCTTGCAGTGGGGCGTGGTGGGGCGTGGTGGCGATGCGACGAGGTGTAATGGCGTGGGAGAGGGCGGTGAGGCTGTGGCGGGCTTGGTGAGGGGAGAGGTATGTGGTGTGTGGGGGGTCGGGGCGGGTGAATGAATGACGCTTGCCTGCCTGCCTGCCTGCCATGCATCCGTCTGCCGCATTTCGCCTCTCCACCTCCCCTCTCCCTCTCCCTCTCCCTCTCCCTCTCCCTCTCCCTCTCCCTCTCCCTCGTGCCTCATGCCTCGTGCCTCGCCTCTACCCTCCTTCCCATACGCCCTGCCCTGTCCTGTGCCCTGCCCCCCCCCATGGCAGCGCGCCCTACTACAACGTGCCCATGCACGAGGTCACCTTCTCCACCTTCGACCGCCCCAAGCTGCTCAGCCAGGTGCGTGCTCAGCCAGGTGCGTGCTCAGCCAGGTGCGTGCTCAGCCAGGTGCGTGCTCAGCCAGGTGCGTGCTCAGCCAGGTGCGTGCTCAGCCAGGTGCGTGCTCAGCCAGGTGCGTGCTCAGCCAGGTGCGTGCTCAGCCAGGTGCGTGCTCAGCCAGGTGCGTGCTCAGCCAGGTGCGTGCTCAGCCAGGTGCGTGCTCAGCCAGGTGCGTGCTCAGCCAGGTGCGTGCTCAGCCAGGTGCGTGCTCAGCCAGGTGCGTGCTCAGCCAGGTGCGTGCTCAGCCAGGTGCGTGCTCAGCCAGGTGCGTGCTCAGCCAGGTGCGTGCTCAGCCAGGTGCGTGCTCAGCCAGGTGCGTGCTCAGCCAGGTGCGTGCTCAGCCAGGTGCGTGCTCAGCCAGGTGCGTGCTCAGCCAGGTGCGTGCTCAGCCAGGTGCGTGCTCAGCCAGGTGCGTGCTCAGCCAGGTGCGTGCTCAGCCAGGTGCGTGCTCAGCCAGGTGCGTGCTCAGCCAGGTGCGTGCTCAGCCAGGTGCGTGCTCAGCCAGGTGCGTGCTCAGCCAGGTGCGTGCTCAGCCAGGTGCGTGCTCAGCCAGGTGCGTGCTCAGCCAGGTGCGTGCTCAGCCAGGTGCGTGCTCAGCCAGGTGCGTGCTCAGCCAGGTGCGTGCTCAGCCAGGTGCGTGCTCAGCCAGGTGCGTGCTCAGCCAGGTGCGTGCTCAGCCAGGTGCGTGCTCAGCCAGGTGCGTGCTCAGCCAGGTGCGTGCTCAGCCAGGTGCGTGCTCAGCCAGGTGCGTGCTCAGCCAGGTGCGTGCTCAGCCAGGTGCGTGCTCAGCCAGGTGCGTGCTCAGCCAGGTGCGTGCTCAGCCAGGTGCGTGCTCAGCCAGGTGCGTGCTCAGCCAGGTGCGTGCTCAGCCAGGTGCGTGCTCAGCCAGGTGCGTGCTCAGCCAGGTGCGTGCTCAGCCAGGTGCGTGCTCAGCCAGGTGCGTGCTCAGCCAGGTGCGTGCTCAGTGCTCAGTGCTCAGCCAGGAGAGTGATAAGTGCTTCACCGAGAATGCACTGCTCAGCACGGCATTGAAGACTCTTCCTTTCAACCCGCTTCCTTCCCCCTTGTACTGCCTGCCTCACCCCTCCCCCCCTCCTCCCCTCCGCCCATCGCCCCCGGCGTCCTGGTTGGCAGCTGTCAGCGGTGTTGGCGGACGCGGGGTTGAACATAAGGGAGGCGCATGTCTTCTCCACGTGCGACGGGCTCTCCCTCGACGTCTTCGTTGTCGACGGCTGGCCCACCGAGGTCCGCCCCCGTGCTGCCACCCACCTCCCGTGCTGCCACCCACCTCCCGTGCTGCCACCCACCTCCCGCCCCCAAACACTGCGCTGCTCCATGCTCTCCCCACTGCCCCTCTCAATACCGCCCCTGCCATGCAATACCGCCCCTGCCATGCAATACCGCCCCTGCCATGCAATACCGCCCCTGCCATGCAATACCGCCCCTGCCATGCAATACCGCCCCTGCCATGCAATACCGCCCCTGCCATGCAATACCGCCCCTGCCATGCAATACCGCCCCTGCCATGCAATACCGCCCCTGCCATGCAATACCGCCCCTGCCATGCAATACCGCCCCTGCCATGCAATACCGCCCCTGCCATGCAATACCGCCCCTGCCATGCAATACCGCCCCTGCCATGCAATACCGCCCCTGCAATGCAATACCGCCCCTGCCATGCAATACCGCCCCTGCCATGCAATACCGCCCCTGCCATGCAATACCGCCCCTGCCATGCAATACCGCCCCTGCCATGCAATACCGCCCCTGCCATGCAATACCGCCCCTGCCATGCAATACCGCCCCTGCCATGCAATACCGCCCCTGCCATGCAATACCGCCCCTGCCATGCAATACCGCCCCTGCCATGCAATACCGCCCCTGCCATGCAATACCGCCCCTGCCATGCAATACCGCCCCTGCCATGCAATACCGCCCCTGACATGCAATACCGCCCCTGCCATGCAATACCGCCCCTGCCATGCAATACCGCCCCTGCCATGCAATACCGCCCCTGCCATGCAATACCGCCCCTGCCATGCAATACCGCCCCTGCCATGCAATACCGCCCCTGCCATGCAATACCGCCCCTGCCATGCAATACCGCCCCTGCCATGCAATACCGCCCCTGCCATGCAATACCGCCCCTGCCATGCAATACCGCCCCTGCCATGCAATACCGCCCCTGCCATGCAATACCGCCCCTGCCATGCAATACCGCCCCTGCCATGCAATACCGCCCCTGCCATGCAATACCGCCCCTGCCATGCAATACCGCCCCTGCCATGCAATACCGCCCCTGCCATGCAATACCGCCCCTGCCATGCAATACCGCCCCTGCCATGCAATACCGCCCCTGCCATGCAATACCGCCCCTGCCATGCAATACCGCCCCTGCCATGCAATACCGCCCCTGCCATGCAATACCGCCCCTGCCATGCAATACCGCCCCTGCCATGCAATACTTTCCTCCCCTCCTAACTCTCCCATCTCGTCTGTGCTGCCTTCTGTGACCCTGTACGCCCCTGTGCGCCCCTGTGCGCCCCTGTGCGTCCCAATGTGTGTGTGTGTGTGTGTGTGTGTGTGTGTGTGTGTGTGCGCACGCGTGTGTGTGCGTGTGTGCGTGTGTGTGTGTGTGTGTGTGTGTGTGTGTGTGTGTGTGTGTGTGTGTGTGCATGCATGCATGCCCGCCCATCAGGACGTGGTGGATCTGCATGCAGCGTTGGTGCGAGTGCTGCAGGTCAGCCCCACTCCCGCCCGCCCCTGCTGCTCCACTCCTGCCCGCCCCTACTCCATGCATGCACCCCCCGCACCTCACTGCACCCCCCGCACCTCACTGCACCCCCCGCACCTCACTGCACCCCCCCGCACCTCACTGCACCCCCCCGCACCTCACTGCAGCCCCCCGCACCTCACTGCAGCCCCCCGCACCTCACTGCAGCCCCCCGCACCTCACTGCAGCCCCCCGCACCTCACTGCAGCCCCCCGCACCTCACTGCAGCCCCCCGCACCTCACTGCAGCCCCCCGCACCTCACTGCAGCCCCCCGCACCTCACTGCAGCCCCCCGCACCTCACTGCAGCCCCCCCGCACCTCACTGCAGCCCCCCGCACCTCACTGCAGCCCCCCGCACCTCACTGCAGCCCCCCGCACCTCACTGCAGCCCCCCGCACCTCACTGCAGCCCCCCGCACCTCACTGCAGCCCCCCGCACCTCACTGCAGCCCCCCGCACCTCACTGCAGCCCCCCGCACCTCACTGCAGCCCCCCGCACCTCACTGCAGCCCCCCGCACCTCACTGCAGCCCCCCCGCACCTCACTGCAGCCCCCCGCACCTCACTGCAGCCCCCCGCACCTCACTGCAGCCCCCCGCACCTCACTGCAGCCCCCCGCACCTCACTGCAGCCCCCCGCACCTCACTGCAGCCCCCCGCACCTCACTGCAGCCCCCCGCACCTCACTGCAGCCCCCCGCACCTCACTGCAGCCCCCCGCACCTCACTGCAGCCCCCCGCACCTCACTGCAGCCCCCCGCACCTCACTGCAGCCCCCCGCACCTCACTGCACGAATGCCACACTCCATCCTTCGCCTGTCCCGTACCTGCTGCAATCACACAATGCTCGTGCTCTCCCGCTGTCGTCAACCACACTCACCCAGTCACTCACTCCCTCACGCCCCGCCGCTTGGCAGATGGGCGTGGGCGCAGCTCTCTCCGTGCAGCCAGAGGCGTCCGGCCAGTCAATGCAGTCAATGCAGTCAATGCAGTCAGGGCCGGGCCCTGCAGTGTCGGAATCAGCAGGCATGGGCGGGGCGGGGGCAGGGGGGCAGGGGGCGGGGTCGGCGGTGTCGGGGGCGGAGTCATGGGTGCCCATCCCCACGGACGGGAGGGACGACTGGGAGATCGACAGCCAGCAGCTCAAGCTGCACCACAAGATCGCGTCCGGCTCCTTTGGTGACTTGTGCGTTGCCCTTGCTTGGTGTGCAGTACAGTGCGCTGGGGTTGTTGCAGCCCACTTTGGGATTTAAAATGCTGTGCTTACTTCACAGTGCCTCGCGTGGTTGTATGTCCCATGCTCACATTGTGTGCACATTACTCTGTGCAACATGGCATGGCATTGCACGCGTGGCGTGGCGTGGCGTGGCGTGGCGTGGCGTGGCGTGGCGTGGCGTGGCGTGGCGTGGCGTGGCGTGGCGTGGCGTGGCGTGGCGTGGCGTGGCATGGCATGGCATGGCATGGCACGGCATGGTGTGGCATGGTATCATATGGCATGACATGGCCTGGAATGACATGGCCTGGTATGGCATGGCATGCATGGCATGGTACGGCGTGGCACGGCATGGCATGGCATGGCATGGCATGGCATGGCATGGCATGGCACGGCACGGCACGGCATGGCATGGCATGGCATGGCATGGCATGGCATGGCATTGCATGGCATGGCATTGCATGGCATGGCATGGCATGGCACACACGCATGGCATGGCACACACCGTATGCTGCATCGTATCACATGGCTTGACATGTGGCTCATGACATGGAATCACATGGCCCGGCATGGCACCAGGTATCGGGGCACATACTGCGGGCAGGACGTGGCGATCAAGATCTTAAAGCCCGAGCGACTTAACGACTCGCTGCAGCAGGAATTCGCCCAGGAGGTGTACATCATGAGGTGAGGTGTACATCATGAGGTGAGGTGTGCATCATGGGGTGAGGTGTACGGTTGATTGTCCACTCGCTATCATCACTCACTGTACACTGCTGTCATGTGTGTGCCATGCCATGCTGTATGCAAAACCCTTGGCCTCAACAGGAAGGTGCGCCATAAGAACGTGGTGCAATTCATTGGAGCCTGCACCAAGCCACCCAACCTCTCTATAGTCACGGGTATGGTGCGCCAAGAGTGCATGTTGAATGAATTCAAGTTGTAGCAGTGAATGGTCTGAATGCGATACCATGCTGTGCCATGCTGCCATCATCTCCCTCTATTCCATGCCCACCATCTATCTCCCAACTGCCCCCTCCCCTCCCCCCTTGTTGTGTGTGCGTGCATGTGAGTAACCAGAGTTCATGGTGGGCGGCAGTGTGTACGACTACATTCACAAGCAGCGCGGCAGCATGCGGCTGCCCATGGTGGTGCGCGTGGCCATGGACGTGGCAAAGGGAATGGACTTTCTGCACAAGAACAACATCATCCACCGCGACCTCAAGGCTGCCAATCTGCTCATGGATGAGAACGAGGTGCGTGCTGTGGTGTGCGGTGCTGTGCGGTTTGCGTGTGTGTCTTGGTGCATGAGTGGATGCTGCGCGTGGGAATGGACTTTCTGCACAAGAATAGCATCATCCACAGCGACCTCAAGGCTGCCAATCTGCTCATGGATGAGAACGAGGTGCGTGCTGTGGTGTGCGGTGCTGTGCGGTTTGCGTGTGTGTCTCGGTGCATGAGTGGGTGCTGCGCGTGGGAATGGACTTTCTGCACAAGAACAGCATCATCCACAGCAAAGCGACCTTAAAGCCGCCAACCTCCTCATGGACGAAAAAGATGTGCGCTCCGTTCCGTTCCTGCGTTGCAGAAGCAAGCTGCTCACTCTTGCGACTGCCCCTGCTGCCTGCCCCCATCCGCTACTCATTCCCCACCCAAGCCGCATGGCATTGCCCATGCCTGATGCCCATGGCCATACCCTTTCCCTTGCACGTCCCCCCCGCCCCGCGCGCAGGTGGTGAAGGTGGCGGACTTTGGAGTGGCGAGGGTGAAGGCGGGCAGTGGCATCATGACGGCCGAGACCGGCACGTACCGCTGGATGGCGCCCGAGGTGAGACCGGTTGGGGCGCTGCTGGTTTATCCAGCGGTATAAGGATGGACTTGGTACCACAAACACGAAAATAGTCGTCACAAGTGGTGTTTCCTCCTAAATTGTTTGAAGTGCTGTGTGCTATGCCATGCCATGGTGTATGATATCTCCCACGCCCCCTGCACCACGCCTCCTGCACCACGCGCCATGCACCACGCCCCCTGCACCACGCCGTGCACCATGGGTGTGGCAGGTGATAGAGCACCGCGCGTACGACCACAAGGCGGACGTCTTCAGCTTCGGCATCACGCTCTGGGAGCTGCTCACCGGCAAGGTGCGCTGCGCTGCACATGGGCCAGGGGTGGGGTCAGGGGGACATGGGGGAGGTGAAATGGCGGGGGTGGGGGTGATGTGGGCTGTTTGTCTCACCGTGCACGATGGCAAGGTGGGGAGGGGTGGGGGGAGGAGGGCAAGCTGCCTTTGAGGGCGAGGTAGGGGTCTTTGGAGGGCAAGCTGCCTTTGAGGGCGAGGTAGGGGTCTTTGGAGGGCAAGCTGCCTTTGAGGGCGAGGTAGGGGTCTTTGGAGGGCAAGCTGCCTTTGAGGGCGAGGTAGGGGTCTTTGGAGGGCAAGCTGCCTTTGAGGGCGAGGTAGGGGTCTTTGGAGGGCAAGCTGCCTTTGAGGGCGAGGTAGGGGTCTTTGGAGGGCAAGCTGCCTTTGAGGGCGAGGTAGGGGTCTTTGGAGGGCAAGCTGCCTTTGAGGGCGAGGTAGGGGTCTTTGGAGGGCAAGCTGCCTTCCAGCCAGAGGTCGTCCTGCAGGCACATGCGCATAAATCACCTCTCATGCCTCATCATTCTCCTTCTTCCCTCACTCTTTGTGCGTGTGCTTGTGCATGTGCCTGTTGTTGTGCGTGCGTGTGTGCATGTGCCTGCTGTCGTGCGTGTGTGTGCATGTGCCTGTTGTCGTGCGTGGGTGTGCATGTGCCTGTTGTTGTGCGTGTGTGTGCATGTGCCTGTTGTCGTGCGTGTGTGTGCATGTGCCTGTTGTCGTGCGTGTGTGTGCATGTGCCTGTTGTCGTGCGTGTGTGTGCATGTGCCTGTTGTCGTGCGTGTGTGTGCATGTGCCTGTTGTCGTGCGTGTGTGTGCATGTGCCTGTTGTCGTGCGTGTGTGTGCATGTGCCTGTTGTCGTGCGTGTGTGTGCATGTGCCTGTTGTCGTGCGTGTGTGTGCATGTGCCTGCTGTCGTGCGTGTGTGTGCATGTGCCTGCTGTCGTGCGTGTGTGTGCATGTGCCTGTTGTCGTGCGTGTGTGTGCATGTGTGCATGTGTTCGCCCCACATGCCACAGCTGCCATATGCGGATCTCACGCCCCTGCAAGCAGCTGTCAGTGTCGTGCAAAAGGTGAGCAGTGGTGTGAAGCGGTTGTGAGGAGTTGGTGTGATGATTGCGAGGATGATGGGAATAGTTGTGTGTGACGTGGTGACAGGGTTGCACCAAACCACACTCTCTCCACAGCCTCACCAACTCACAATCTGCGCTACGCCTCGTGCTCTCGTCCCTTCACCCCCCTCTTCCCCCTCTTCCCCCCCTCCCCCCATGGCAGGGGCTGCGGCCGCCCATCCCCAAAGGCACACACCCGCGGCTGGCGGAGCTGATGGTGCGGTGCTGGCACACCAACCCCAACGAACGCCCCGAGTTCAGTGCCGTGCTGCGCCTGCTGGCTGACATGGCGCACGAGGTGAGGGGGAGGGGAGGGGCATGGCATGGCACACGTGGTGAGGGGGATGGCGCATGAGGGGAGGTAGTGCTGGGGGGCACTGTTGCTCCAAGGATGGCGCAACAACATCACCAACCCCCCCTCCATGCGACCCTTGCTGCATGTGCCCCCCCCTCCATGCGACGCTTGCTGCATGCGCCCCTCCCTCCATGCGACCTGCGTGTGCCCCTCCCTCCATGCGACCTGCGTGTGCTCCACACGACTCTTTTCTCCCAATCTTGTTCATCCACTGTCTCATCCCCAACTCTCTCCCCCCCCCTCTGTGTGCCGCCGTACCTGCTGTGTGCCCCGTGCCTGTGTGCCCCGTGCCTGTGTGCCCCGTGCCTGTGTGGTTGAGGATGAGCAGGTGGAGGAGGAGGGCGACGGCGAGCACAGGCGCCGGGAGAAGCGGGGAGGCTTCTTTGCCTCGCTCAAACGCACAGGGGGCAAGTGAGGGGAGCAGGGGGCAAGTGGGAGGGGAAGAGGACGAGTCAGAGGGTAGGGGACAAGTGGGAGGGGCAGGGGGCATGTGAGAGGGGGAGGGTGGTGAAGGGGCAGTGCAGTGGATGGGGTGGGGCTCGCAGGCAGCCAAGGGTTGGTTGCCAGTGAGCAGGGCGGTGCTTGGAGATGGCTTGATGGGCCTGCTTGCACGCGCCATGCATGCGGTGCTGCGTGGTTGCTGCATTGTCCACAGCGGTGCTGGCACGGTCGGCACCACATAGGGGAGTGGATATGAGAAGGCAAAGGCAGACGGCAGAGAGCAGAGAGCGGAGGACAGATGTAGTCGCTGCATCTGCCAGTAGCAGTGGACAGCGATGGTGGCATGTGGTTGTGAGGGCATGAGTGAAGCATGAGTGGAGCATGAGTGGAGCATGAGTGGAGGTGCACAAGGCAGCTTTTGGATCCTCGTCTAACACAAGCCTGGAGGGGCTAGGGATGAGGAGGGGAGGTAGGGGTTGTGGGAGAGGGCGGGCAACCATGAAGCAGTAAGTGGAGTCGTGGTGGCGGTGGTGGAGGTAGTAGTAGCAGCAATTTTGACAGTCCATGTGACTGGGTCCCGTCCCATGCTGGTGGTTGTGCTAGGGCAGGGCAGGGCAGGGCAGGGCAGGGCATGGTCGATGAGTGACGTGTGTGTGATGGTGCCTCCCCTGCGTAACGGTTCCCACAAACTCTTGAGGTCCAACCCGTGCACTGCACGTCCCCCATGCCACATGGTTTTTGCCAGAAACATTGCCATCCGGCATCCAATTTTGTAGTGTAGTGATCAAATGTGTACATCAAATGTTTTGGTGAGTTTTGGTGGTTGATGTGAAGCCAAAACACAAGAGTGTTTTTCACAATGGTCACCTTCATTTGTATCTAGAATGCGTGTATGTGTCAAATATGATAATGTTTATGTTGTGTAGGCTGTAGTGGGGTAGCCCAACTAGGGTTAGTACTTGTACTCGGCTTGTTCTCAATGCGTTCATTCTCAATCAGTATTCTGACATGGTTTCAGAGCAGGTAATGTTCCAGGACTGTTTTTTTAGGGCCCACCGGCTAGTTCCCTGCCCGTAGCACGTTACCCTGTCCATAGCGCCCTACCCTGCCCGCCGCGCTGCTCCACCAGTCGCACTGCCCTGCCCTCCCCGCGCGCCGCCCTGCTGGCTGTCGCGCCGCCCTGCTGGCTGTCGCGCCGCCCTGCTGGCCGCGCGCTGCCCTGCTGCCCGTCGCGCCGACCTGCCGGCTGCGCCACCCTGCTCTGCTGCCCGTCGCGCCGCCCTGCTGGCCGCGCGCTGCCCTGCTGCCCGCGCACGCCCTGCCCTGCCCTGCGTCGCGCCGCCCCGCGCACGCCCTGCCCTGCGTCGCGTCGCCTCGCGCACGCCCTGCCCTGCCCTGCCCTGCCCTGCCCTGCCCTGCCCTGCGTCGCGCCGCCCGCGCACGCCCTGCCCTGCCGTCGCACCGCCCTGCTGGTCGCGCGTGCTGCCCTGCCCTGCCCGTCGCGCCGCCCTGCTGCACGCGCGCTGCCCTGCCCTGCCTGCGTGCCGCCCTGCTGCTTGCGCGCCGCCCTACCCTTTGCGCCGCCCTGCTGGTCGTGCGCCGCCCTGCCCTGCCTGTAGCGCCGTTCTGCCGGTTGTGCACTGCCCTGCTCTCTTGTTTTCTCGCCCTTGACCCCATAGACCTCACTGTCGACCAGCTCGAGAAGCCATAGCGGGCTAGGCGGGGCGACTCAAGCAAACAAGAGAGCAGGGCAGTGCACAACCGGCAGAACGGCGCTACAGGCAGGGCAGGGCGGCGCACGACCAGCAGGGCGGCGCAAAGGGTAGGGCGGCGCGCAAGCAGCAGGGCGGCACGCAGGCAGGGCAGGGCAGCGCGCGTGCAGCAGGGCGGCGCGACGGGCAGGGCAGGGCAGCACGCGCGACCAGCAGGGCGGTGCGACGGCAGGGCAGGGCGTGTGCGGGCGGCGCGACGCAGGGCAGGGCAGGGCAGGGCAGGGCAGGGCAGGGCAGGGCGTGCGCGAGGCGACGCGACGCAGGGCAGGGCGTGCGCGGGGCGGCGCGACGCAGGGCAGGGCAGGGCGTGCGCGGGCAGCAGGGCAGCGGCCAGCAGGGCGGCGCGACGGGCAGCAGAGCAGGGTGGCGCAGCCGGCAGGTCGGCGCGACGGGCAGCAGGGCAGCGCGCGGCCAGCAGGGCGGCGCGACAGCCAGCAGGGCGGCGCGACAGCCAGCAGGGCGGCGCGCGGGGAGGGCAGGGCAGTGCGACTGGTGGAGCAGCGCGGCGGGCAGGGTAGGGCGCTATGGACAGGGTAACGTGCTACGGGCAGGGAACTAGCCGGTGGGCCCTAAAAAAACAGTCCTGGAACATTACCTGCTCTGAAACCATGTCAGAATACTGATTGAGAATGAACGCATTGAGAACAAGCCGAGTACAAGTACTAACCCTAGTTGGGCTACCCCACTACAGCCTACACAACATAAACATTATCATATTTGACACATACACGCATTCTAGATACAAATGAAGGTGACCATTGTGAAAAACACTCTTGTGTTTTGGCTTCACATCAACCACCAAAACTCACCAAAACATTTGATGTACACATTTGATCACTACACTACAAAATTGGATGCCGGATGGCAATGTTTCTGGCAAAAACCATGTGGCATGGGGGACGTGCAGTGCACGGGTTGGACCTCAAGAGTTTGTGGGAACCGTTACGCAGGGGAGGCACCATCACACACACGTCACTCATCGACCATGCCCTGCCCTGCCCTGCCCTGCCCTGCCCTAGCACAACCACCAGCATGGGACGGGACCCAGTCACATGGACTGTCAAAATTGCTGCTACTACTACCTCCACCACCGCCACCACGACTCCACTTACTGCTTCATGGTTGCCCGCCCTCTCCCACAACCCCTACCTCCCCTCCTCATCCCTAGCCCCTCCAGGCTTGTGTTAGACGAGGATCCAAAAGCTGCCTTGTGCACCTCCACTCATGCTCCACTCATGCTCCACTCATGCTTCACTCATGCCCTCACAACCACATGCCACCATCGCTGTCCACTGCTACTGGCAGATGCAGCGACTACATCTGTCCTCCGCTCTCTGCTCTCTGCCGTCTGCCTTTGCCTTCTCATATCCACTCCCCTATGTGGTGCCGACCGTGCCAGCACCGCTGTGGACAATGCAGCAACCACGCAGCACCGCATGCATGGCGCGTGCAAGCAGGCCCATCAAGCCATCTCCAAGCACCGCCCTGCTCACTGGCAACCAACCCTTGGCTGCCTGCGAGCCCCACCCCATCCACTGCACTGCCCCTTCACCACCCTCCCCCTCTCACATGCCCCCTGCCCCTCCCACTTGTCCCCTACCCTCTGACTCGTCCTCTTCCCCTCCCACTTGCCCCCTGCTCCCCTCACTTGCCCCCTGTGCGTTTGAGCGAGGCAAAGAAGCCTCCCCGCTTCTCCCGGCGCCTGTGCTCGCCGTCGCCCTCCTCCTCCACCTGCTCATCCTCAACCACACAGGCACGGGGCACACAGGCACGGGGCACACAGGCACGGGGCACACAGCAGGTACGGCGGCACACAGAGGGGGGGGGAGAGAGTTGGGGATGAGACAGTGGATGAACAAGATTGGGAGAAAAGAGTCGTGTGGAGCACACGCAGGTCGCATGGAGGGAGGGGCACACGCAGGTCGCATGGAGGGAGGGGCGCATGCAGCAAGCGTCGCATGGAGGGGGGGGCACATGCAGCAAGGGTCGCATGGAGGGGGGGTTGGTGATGTTGTTGCGCCATCCTTGGAGCAACAGTGCCCCCCAGCACTACCTCCCCTCATGCGCCATCCCCCTCACCACGTGTGCCATGCCATGCCCCTCCCCTCCCCCTCACCTCGTGCGCCATGTCAGCCAGCAGGCGCAGCACGGCACTGAACTCGGGGCGTTCGTTGGGGTTGGTGTGCCAGCACCGCACCATCAGCTCCGCCAGCCGCGGGTGTGTGCCTTTGGGGATGGGCGGCCGCAGCCCCTGCCATGGGGGGAGGGGGGGAAGAGGGGGAAGAGGGGGGTGAAGGGACGAGAGCACGAGGCGTAGCGCAGATTGTGAGTTGGTGAGGCTGTGGAGAGAGTGTGGTTTGGTGCAACCCTGTCACCACGTCACACACAACTATTCCCATCATCCTCGCAATCATCACACCAACTCCTCACAACCGCTTCACACCACTGCTCACCTTTTGCACGACACTGACAGCTGCTTGCAGGGGCGTGAGATCCGCATATGGCAGCTGTGGCATGTGGGGCGAACACATGCACACATGCACACACACGCACGACAACAGGCACATGCACACACACGCACGACAGCAGGCACATGCACACACACGCACGACAGCAGGCACATGCACACACACGCACGACAACAGGCACATGCACACACACGCACGACAACAGGCACATGCACACACACGCACGACAACAGGCACATGCACACACACGCACGACAACAGGCACATGCACACACACGCACGACAACAGGCACATGCACACACACGCACGACAACAGGCACATGCACACACACGCACGACAACAGGCACATGCACACACACGCACGACAACAGGCACATGCACACACACGCACAACAACAGGCACATGCACACCCACGCACGACAACAGGCACATGCACACACACGCACGACAGCAGGCACATGCACACACGCACGCACAACAACAGGCACATGCACAAGCACACGCACAAAGAGTGAGGGAAGAAGGAGAATGATGAGGCATGAGAGGTGATTTATGCGCATGTGCCTGCAGGACGACCTCTGGCTGGAAGGCAGCTTGCCCTCCAAAGACCCCTACCTCGCCCTCAAAGGCAGCTTGCCCTCCAAAGACCCCTACCTCGCCCTCAAAGGCAGCTTGCCCTCCAAAGACCCCTACCTCGCCCTCAAAGGCAGCTTGCCCTCCAAAGACCCCTACCTCGCCCTCAAAGGCAGCTTGCCCTCCAAAGACCCCTACCTCGCCCTCAAAGGCAGCTTGCCCTCCAAAGACCCCTACCTCGCCCTCAAAGGCAGCTTGCCCTCCAAAGACCCCTACCTCGCCCTCAAAGGCAGCTTGCCCTCCAAAGACCCCTACCTCGCCCTCAAAGGCAGCTTGCCCTCCTCCCCCCACCCCTCCCCACCTTGCCATCGTGCACGGTGAGACAAACAGCCCACATCACCCCCACCCCCGCCATTTCACCTCCCCCATGTCCCCCTGACCCCACCCCTGGCCCATGTGCAGCGCAGCGCACCTTGCCGGTGAGCAGCTCCCAGAGCGTGATGCCGAAGCTGAAGACGTCCGCCTTGTGGTCGTACGCGCGGTGCTCTATCACCTGCCACACCCATGGTGCACGGCGTGGTGCAGGGGGCGTGGTGCATGGCGCGTGGTGCAGGAGGCGTGGTGCAGGGGGCGTGGGAGATATCATACACCATGGCATGGCATAGCACACAGCACTTCAAACAATTTAGGAGGAAACACCACTTGTGACGACTATTTTCGTGTTTGTGGTACCAAGTCCATCCTTATACCGCTGGATAAACCAGCAGCGCCCCAACCGGTCTCACCTCGGGCGCCATCCAGCGGTACGTGCCGGTCTCGGCCGTCATGATGCCACTGCCCGCCTTCACCCTCGCCACTCCAAAGTCCGCCACCTTCACCACCTGCGCGCGGGGCGGGGGGGACGTGCAAGGGAAAGGGTATGGCCATGGGCATCAGGCATGGGCAATGCCATGCGGCTTGGGTGGGGAATGAGTAGCGGATGGGGGCAGGCAGCAGGGGCAGTCGCAAGAGTGAGCAGCTTGCTTCTGCAACGCAGGAACGGAACGGAGCGCACATCTTTTTCGTCCATGAGGAGGTTGGCGGCTTTAAGGTCGCTTTGCTGTGGATGATGCTGTTCTTGTGCAGAAAGTCCATTCCCACGCGCAGCACCCACTCATGCACCGAGACACACACGCAAACCGCACAGCACCGCACACCACAGCACGCACCTCGTTCTCATCCATGAGCAGATTGGCAGCCTTGAGGTCGCTGTGGATGATGCTATTCTTGTGCAGAAAGTCCATTCCCACGCGCAGCATCCACTCATGCACCAAGACACACACGCAAACCGCACAGCACCGCACACCACAGCACGCACCTCGTTCTCATCCATGAGCAGATTGGCAGCCTTGAGGTCGCGGTGGATGATGTTGTTCTTGTGCAGAAAGTCCATTCCCTTTGCCACGTCCATGGCCACGCGCACCACCATGGGCAGCCGCATGCTGCCGCGCTGCTTGTGAATGTAGTCGTACACACTGCCGCCCACCATGAACTCTGGTTACTCACATGCACGCACACACAACAAGGGGGGAGGGGAGGGGGCAGTTGGGAGATAGATGGTGGGCATGGAATAGAGGGAGATGATGGCAGCATGGCACAGCATGGTATCGCATTCAGACCATTCACTGCTACAACTTGAATTCATTCAACATGCACTCTTGGCGCACCATACCCGTGACTATAGAGAGGTTGGGTGGCTTGGTGCAGGCTCCAATGAATTGCACCACGTTCTTATGGCGCACCTTCCTGTTGAGGCCAAGGGTTTTGCATACAGCATGGCATGGCACACACATGACAGCAGTGTACAGTGAGTGATGATAGCGAGTGGACAATCAACCGTACACCTCACCCCATGATGCACACCTCACCTCATGATGTACACCTCACCTCATGATGTACACCTCCTGGGCGAATTCCTGCTGCAGCGAGTCGTTAAGTCGCTCGGGCTTTAAGATCTTGATCGCCACGTCCTGCCCGCAGTATGTGCCCCGATACCTGGTGCCATGCCGGGCCATGTGATTCCATGTCATGAGCCACATGTCAAGCCATGTGATACGATGCAGCATACGGTGTGTGCCATGCCATGCGTGTGTGCCATGCCATGCCATGCCATGCAATGCCATGCCATGCAATGCCATGCCATGCCATGCCATGCCATGCCATGCCACGCCATGCCATGCCGTGCCGTGCCATGCCATGCCATGCCATGCCATGCCATGCCATGCCATGCCGTGCCACGCCGTACCATGCCATGCATGCCATGCCATACCAGGCCATGTCATTCCAGGCCATGTCATGCCATATGATACCATGCCACACCATGCGTGCCATGCCATGTGATGCCATGCCATGCCACACCACGCCACGCCACGCCACGCCACGCCACGCCACGCCACGCCACGCCACGCCACGCCACGCCACGCCACGCCACGCCACGCCACGCCACGCGTGCAATGCCATGCCATGTTGCACAGAGTAATGTGCACACAATGTGAGCATGGGACATACAACCACGCGAGGCACTGTGAAGTAAGCACAGCATTTTAAATCCCAAAGTGGGCTGCAACAACCCCAGCGCACTGTACTGCACACCAAGCAAGGGCAACGCACAAGTCACCAAAGGAGCCGGACGCGATCTTGTGGTGCAGCTTGAGCTGCTGGCTGTCGATCTCCCAGTCGTCCCTCCCGTCCGTGGGGATGGGCACCCATGACTCCGCCCCCGACACCGCCGACCCCGCCCCCTGCCCCCCTGCCCCCGCCCCGCCCATGCCTGCTGATTCCGACACTGCAGGGCCCGGCCCTGACTGCATTGACTGCATTGACTGCATTGACTGGCCGGACGCCTCTGGCTGCACGGAGAGAGCTGCGCCCACGCCCATCTGCCAAGCGGCGGGGCGTGAGGGAGTGAGTGACTGGGTGAGTGTGGTTGACGACAGCGGGAGAGCACGAGCATTGTGTGATTGCAGCAGGTACGGGACAGGCGAAGGATGGAGTGTGGCATTCGTGCAGTGAGGTGCGGGGGGCTGCAGTGAGGTGCGGGGGGCTGCAGTGAGGTGCGGGGGGCTGCAGTGAGGTGCGGGGGGCTGCAGTGAGGTGCGGGGGGCTGCAGTGAGGTGCGGGGGGCTGCAGTGAGGTGCGGGGGGCTGCAGTGAGGTGCGGGGGGCTGCAGTGAGGTGCGGGGGGCTGCAGTGAGGTGCGGGGGGCTGCAGTGAGGTGCGGGGGGCTGCAGTGAGGTGCGGGGGGCTGCAGTGAGGTGCGGGGGGGCTGCAGTGAGGTGCGGGGGGCTGCAGTGAGGTGCGGGGGGCTGCAGTGAGGTGCGGGGGGCTGCAGTGAGGTGCGGGGGGCTGCAGTGAGGTGCGGGGGGCTGCAGTGAGGTGCGGGGGGCTGCAGTGAGGTGCGGGGGGCTGCAGTGAGGTGCGGGGGGCTGCAGTGAGGTGCGGGGGGCTGCAGTGAGGTGCGGGGGGCTGCAGTGAGGTGCGGGGGGGCTGCAGTGAGGTGCGGGGGGCTGCAGTGAGGTGCGGGGGGCTGCAGTGAGGTGCGGGGGGCTGCAGTGAGGTGCGGGGGGCTGCAGTGAGGTGCGGGGGGCTGCAGTGAGGTGCGGGGGGCTGCAGTGAGGTGCGGGGGGCTGCAGTGAGGTGCGGGGGGCTGCAGTGAGGTGCGGGGGGCTGCAGTGAGGTGCGGGGGGGTGCAGTGAGGTGCGGGGGGGTGCAGTGAGGTGCAGTGAGGTGCAGGGGGTGCAGTGAGGTGCGGGGGGTGCAGTGAGGTGCGGGGGGTGCATGCATGGAGTAGGGGCGGGCAGGAGTGGAGCAGCAGGGGCGGGCGGGAGTGGGGCTGACCTGCAGCACTCGCACCAACGCTGCATGCAGATCCACCACGTCCTGATGGGCGGGCATGCATGCATGCACACACACACACACACACACACACACACACACACACACACACACACACGCACACACGCACACACACGCGCACACACACACACACACACACACACACACACACACACATTGGGACGCACAGGGGCGCACAGGGGCGCACAGGGGCGTACAGGGTCACAGAAGGCAGCACAGACGAGATGGGAGAGTTAGGAGGGGAGGAAAGGCAAGGCGGTATTGCATGGCAGGGGCGGTATTGCATGGCAGGGGCGGTATTGCATGGCAGGGGCGGTATTGCATGGCAGGGGCGGTATTGCATGGCAGGGGCGGTATTGCATGGCAGGGGCGGTATTGCATGGCAGGGGCGGTATTGCATGGCAGGGGCGGTATTGCATGGCAGGGGCGGTATTGCATGGCAGGGGCGGTATTGCATGGCAGGGGCGGTATTGCATGGCAGGGGCGGTATTGCATGGCAGGGGCGGTATTGCATGGCAGGGGCGGTATTGCATGGCAGGGGCGGTATTGCATGGCAGGGGCGGTATTGCATGGCAGGGGCGGTATTGCATGGCAGGGGCGGTATTGCATGGCAGGGGCGGTATTGCATGGCAGGGGCGGTATTGCATGGCAGGGGCGGTATTGCATGGCAGGGGCGGTATTGCATGGCAGGGGCGGTATTGCATGGCAGGGGCGGTATTGCATGGCAGGGGCGGTATTGCATGGCAGGGGCGGTATTGCATGTCAGGGGCGGTATTGCATGGCAGGGGCGGTATTGCATGGCAGGGGCGGTATTGCATGGCAGGGGCGGTATTGCATGGCAGGGGCGGTATTGCATGGCAGGGGCGGTATTGCATGGCAGGGGCGGTATTGCATGGCAGGGGCGGTATTGCATGGCAGGGGCGGTATTGCATGGCAGGGGCGGTATTGCATGGCAGGGGCGGTATTGCATGGCAGGGGCGGTATTGCATGGCAGGGGCGGTATTGCATGGCAGGGGCGGTATTGCATGGCAGGGGCGGTATTGCATTGCAGGGGCGGTATTGCATGGCAGGGGCGGTATTGCATGGCAGGGGCGGTATTGCATGGCAGGGGCGGTATTGCATGGCAGGGGCGGTATTGCATGGCAGGGGCGGTATTGCATGGCAGGGGCGGTATTGCATGGCAGGGGCGGTATTGCATGGCAGGGGCGGTATTGCATGGCAGGGGCGGTATTGCATGGCAGGGGCGGTATTGCATGGCAGGGGCGGTATTGCATGGCAGGGGCGGTATTGCATGGCAGGGGCGGTATTGCATGGCAGGGGCGGTATTGCATGGCAGGGGCGGTATTGAGAGGGGCAGTGGGGAGAGCATGGAGCAGCGCAGTGTTTGGGGGCGGGAGGTGGGTGGCAGCACGGGAGGTGGGTGGCAGCACGGGAGGTGGGTGGCAGCACGGGGGCGGACCTCGGTGGGCCAGCCGTCGACAACGAAGACGTCGAGGGAGAGCCCGTCGCACGTGGAGAAGACATGCGCCTCCCTTATGTTCAACCCCGCGTCCGCCAACACCGCTGACAGCTGCCAACCAGGACGCCGGGGGCGATGGGCGGAGGGGAGGAGGGGGGGAGGGGTGAGGCAGGCAGTACAAGGGGGAAGGAAGCGGGTTGAAAGGAAGAGTCTTCAATGCCGTGCTGAGCAGTGCATTCTCGGTGAAGCACTTATCACTCTCCTGGCTGAGCACTGAGCACTGAGCACGCACCTGGCTGAGCACGCACCTGGCTGAGCACGCACCTGGCTGAGCACGCACCTGGCTGAGCACGCACCTGGCTGAGCACGCACCTGGCTGAGCACGCACCTGGCTGAGCACGCACCTGGCTGAGCACGCACCTGGCTGAGCACGCACCTGGCTGAGCACGCACCTGGCTGAGCACGCACCTGGCTGAGCACGCACCTGGCTGAGCACGCACCTGGCTGAGCACGCACCTGGCTGAGCACGCACCTGGCTGAGCACGCACCTGGCTGAGCACGCACCTGGCTGAGCACGCACCTGGCTGAGCACGCACCTGGCTGAGCACGCACCTGGCTGAGCACGCACCTGGCTGAGCACGCACCTGGCTGAGCACGCACCTGGCTGAGCACGCACCTGGCTGAGCACGCACCTGGCTGAGCACGCACCTGGCTGAGCACGCACCTGGCTGAGCACGCACCTGGCTGAGCACGCACCTGGCTGAGCACGCACCTGGCTGAGCACGCACCTGGCTGAGCACGCACCTGGCTGAGCACGCACCTGGCTGAGCACGCACCTGGCTGAGCACGCACCTGGCTGAGCACGCACCTGGCTGAGCACGCACCTGGCTGAGCACGCACCTGGCTGAGCACGCACCTGGCTGAGCACGCACCTGGCTGAGCACGCACCTGGCTGAGCACGCACCTGGCTGAGCACGCACCTGGCTGAGCACGCACCTGGCTGAGCACGCACCTGGCTGAGCACGCACCTGGCTGAGCACGCACCTGGCTGAGCACGCACCTGGCTGAGCACGCACCTGGCTGAGCACGCACCTGGCTGAGCACGCACCTGGCTGAGCACGCACCTGGCTGAGCACGCACCTGGCTGAGCACGCACCTGGCTGAGCACGCACCTGGCTGAGCACGCACCTGGCTGAGCACGCACCTGGCTGAGCACGCACCTGGCTGAGCACGCACCTGGCTGAGCACGCACCTGGCTGAGCACGCACCTGGCTGAGCAGCTTGGGGCGGTCGAAGGTGGAGAAGGTGACCTCGTGCATGGGCACGTTGTAGTAGGGCGCGCTGCCATGGGGGGGGGCAGGGCACAGGACAGGGCAGGGCGTATGGGAAGGAGGGTAGAGGCGAGGCACGAGGCATGAGGCACGAGGGAGAGGGAGAGGGAGAGGGAGAGGGAGAGGGAGAGGGAGAGGGAGAGGGGAGGTGGAGAGGCGAAATGCGGCAGACGGATGCATGGCAGGCAGGCAGGCAGGCAAGCGTCATTCATTCACCCGCCCCGACCCCCCACACACCACATACCTCTCCCCTCAGGGTTTAGGGTTTAGGGTTTAGGGTTTAGGGTTTAGGGTTT